TGAAGAAAATGGAAGACCTGAACTCCACTCCTCATCTGCCTTAATTCAAGTGCCTTCCCACCTCTGTGTCAAACTGAATGGCAGGTTGCATGTTCTCCTGGACGGTTTTCAGGTATCTCATGAACGTGTCCTCCAGCACCCACTTACCAGCTCTTCAGAGACAAAGGCAGCCATAGATCTCAGAGTCTGCCCATGAGGCTCATTCTCATACAGATGTGAACAACTTGGCTCTGAGCCTCTGCACATCAGAAGGGCAGCTGCTCACCTTATGCATCTATATCTAGGGTTCCTTCCTCTAGGTTGATGGAGAAGACAGCATGGAACCAGAGAACTTCATGTGGGTGTCAGATTTGTCTTGCTGGGACTGTCACAGACTTGGGACCTCCAGCTTTTCCTGTTTCTGGTCTTCTTGTTTGTCTATACCACCACTGTTGTGGGAAACCTCCTCATCATTGTCACAGCCACTGCAGATGCTTGGCTCCACACCCCCATGTACTTTCTGCTTCGCAATCTGGCTGTGTTAGACCTCTGTTTCTCCTCAGTCACAGCCCCCAAGATGCTGGTGGACTTCCTGTCTGAGAAGACAACCATCTACCAGAGCCGCATGGCCCAGCTCTTCTTCCACTTCCTGGGAGGTGCCATGGTCTTCTTCCTCTGTGATGGCCTATGATCACCTAATTGCCATCTCCAGGCCACTCCACTGTCACCATCATGAACACTCAGCTCTGTGTGGGACTGGTGGTGATGGCTTGGTCAGTAGACGTTGTCCACTCCATCATCCAGCTTTCTCTGATGCTCCCCTTGCCATTATGTGGCTCTAATGTTCTAGATAACTTCTACTGTGATGTTCCTCAAGTCCTGAGGCTCGCCTGCATGGACACCTCCCTCTTAGAGTTGCTCATGATCTCCAACAGTGGCATGCTAGATGTCATTTGGTTCTTCCTCCTCCTCATCTCCTACTTGATCATCCTAGTGATGCTCAGGTCCCACCCAGGGGAAGCGAGGAGGAAGGCAGCTTCCACCTGTACCACACACATCATCATGATGTCTATGATCTTCACTCCAAGCATTTACCTCTATGCCCGTCCCTTCACTGCCTTTCCTATGGACAAGGCTGTGCCATCAGCCACACAGTCATGACCCCCATGCTCAACCCCATGATCTACACCCTGAGGAACCAGGAGATGCAGGCAGCATTGAAGAGATAAGGGATGCATGGGTTGCTTTGTAAAAACAAATGACCCTGGGTAAGCCTCTTTTCTTTTGCTTGTTTTTGTTGTTTGTGCTGGTCCTGGAGCTTAAGCTCAGAGCCTAGAAGCCATCCCTGAGCTTTTTTGCTCAAGGCTAATCCTCCATCACTTGAGCCACAACTGCACTTCTGGCTTTTGGGTGGTTAATTGCTGATAAGAGTCTTGTCTTTCCTGTCTGGGCTGTCTTCAAACTGTAATGCTCAGATCTCAGCCTCCTGAGTAGCTTAGGTTATAGATGTGAGTCATGGGTGCTTGGCTTGCTTGTTCTTTTTGTAACTTGAACAAGCCTATTATATCTGCTTATTCATGTGTCTGTATTTGCTGCCTTGTATATGCAGAGAATGGGTTTTGAAACTTGGGAATGTACTCTGATTTTTAGTCAAGGGAAAGTGTTATCTTTGTGGTAAAGGCTTATGATAAAGCATTCTAACATTCTTGCAAATATGAGAAACATTTACTTGTTCCTGGAGAATCACATTCTCACTTGTCTCTTCCTGATCAATACAGAGTTTTCTTTTATGATGACAGCATTTCCTCCTGAAGTGCATTGTTACTTTCTATTGTATCTCTTCTCAGCATCTCCTTTTGGCTTGAGTTGAGAATAGTGGCTGTAGCTAATGATTTTTAGTCCTTAGTTGGAAGCTCTCATCCTCAGCTACCAAAGTGACATGCTCAGATGATCTACCTCAACTGTTGGTCTCATGGTAGCTTCCTTATCAAACTGGTATAAAACAATGCAGTCCCAATAGTGTCACAGATTTTTTTTTTTATAAGATACAAATAAAATTGGTGAAAAAACATTTTGGAAATCATAGAACCTATGTGAAAAATCATTATTATCTTGACATTTATACCTTCATTTGGGAATTTTTTAGCCAATACCAGGGTTTGATCTCCGGACCTCACATTTGTTCAGCTTCATGCCTGGTTGGTACTTTACCACTTAAGCCATCTCTCTAGCCTAGGTTTTTGCTGGTTATTCTGGTGAAGAGTTTCATGGACTTTTCTGTCTGGGCTGGCTTCAAATCACAAACTTCTGCATCTCAACTTTCAGCCTGTGTTCCACTTGTCTAGTTGAGAGTTGTATGTGTACTTGTCCAGAGTTCTTTTTTATTAACTTGATTCTGATGTTCAATATGGTGGTGAGACTAACAATGGCAATGCCTTTATAGAAATTAGAAAAAGACATCTACTTCACCAGTTTGATATAACTTGACACCAGAACATACCACTTAGAAGTACAATACAGGCTGGATTTCAGCCTCTCATATCCACTCTTGGTCAAGTCCAGGAATAGACCAATATGGCTGGAGTATAGCAATGAAACTTTTTGTTGCTGGTGGTAGTGGTGGTGGTCCTGGGGTTTGAATTCAGGGCCTGGGTACTGCTCCTGAGTCTCTTTGTGCTCAAGGCTAGTGCTTTACCACTTGTGTCATGGCGCCACTTCAGACTTTTTGAGTAGCTTATTGGAGATAAGAGCCTCACAGGGATTTTTCTGCCCAGGCTGGCTTCCAACCACAATCCTCAGATCTCAGCCTACTGAGTACCTAGGATTACAGGCCTGAGCCACTGGTGGCCAGTGCAATGTAGCTTTTTATTTCACAGCTCTGAGACATCTATAAACTACATAAACATTTTCTTGCTTCTCTTGCATTCTTTTTCTTTTTCCTCTTCTGTTGGTACTGGGGCTTGAATTCAGGGCCTTACACTTTTGCTTGGCTTTTTCACTCAAGATTTAGCTGTCTCTGCTTTTGTTTTTCAGTTGTGGGCCTTGACTTCAGGACCTTGGTGCTGTCCCTAAGGCTCTTTGTCAAGGCTAGTGCTCTACCACTTGAGCCACAGTGCCACTTTCAGTTTTTGAGTGGTTTATTGTCAACCTCAACGTTCTGATCATGAGAATAGGGCCAAGGATTCCATTTCCAGAATCCCTGGGGACACAGAAAGACCCTGTTATGTCACCACTGTCTTGATGGGGGCAATTGGAACAGAGTAGATAAAGAAATCTAATTAGGATGTGGTCAGCAGCTCTACCACGTCTAGTTTCAGGCTGACCAGAGGAGGGTAAGAGGGAGGTTCTTGGGTATTATAGTTGAAAGAAGCTGGAAGCTTCCTTCATGGACCAACATCTAGATATCAGAATGTCAGGGTCAGGCTTGCAACAACCTCCATTGACTCAGCACCAGCCTGGCCAAAAGCACCAGATTCTGACAAATGTAAAGGCACAAATCCATTTCCTGATCCAAGAGCTATGACAGGCTGGACCAAAACAAATACATTCAGTTCATAAATCATATTCAGGCCCAATATGCCCTGTTATGCATGGAGGCTATGTGAGTAATACAAAATAGGTATGTCTCATTTTTGTATGGCACTTATAGACCTGCAGGGGGCTGGAGCTTCATCAAATCCAACCAAAGGGACATAAGTAGATAATGTATATAACAATGTTAAGATCTGAGCAGGCTTTGGCCACAGGTAGCAGCCTCTTGCCCCATAGCACTGCACCTCCTGTGTTTAAACAGTTGGTTGGGTACAAATGATGCTAGCACAGTAATTATAAAGACAAAAATACAAGTTGAGCATCTTCAATTCTGTTGCTTTATATGGCCAACAGAGTTTTAACTTACGTTTAAAATGTAAAACGGGGCTGGGAAGTTGGCTCAGTAGTAGAGTGCTTGCCTCGCATGCATGAGGCCCTGGGTTTGATTCCTCAGCACTACATAAGCAGAAAAAAAGCCAAAACTGGTGCTGTGACTCAAGTGGTAGGGTACTAGCCTTGAGCTGAAGAGCTGAGGGACAGCACCCAGGCCCAGAGTTCAGGCCTCACAACCAACAACAACAAAAAAGTAAAACAGTGAATAAGGGCAAACTGTGAAGTATCTTTAAGTGTCAAATTTACTTCACTCTTGTAATTTTTTTTTTTTTGGTCGGTCATGGGGCTTGAACTCTGGGCCTGGATGATGTCCCTCAGCCCTTCAATTCAAGGTTAGTGCTCTACCACTTGAGCCACAGCGCCACTTCCTCAAATTTATTTCACATATAAAATAGTTTACTGAATTCTAATCATATTTTTAAGATTTAAGCTCCTCCTTTTTAAACTTTTACTTGTTCATTTTGGCAACTTCTTTTTTTTATCCCCACAATTGAATCCAGGGTCTCATAGGTGCTAGGCAAGTACTCTATCCCTAGGTAGTACTCTCTGCCTTAATTGCTCATTTAAAACCTTACCTGTTTCTTGTGAAGGTAATGGAGCTTGAACTTAGGACCTCATGTTCTCAATTGTCTTTTTTTGCTCAAGGTTGATGCTCTACCGTTTGAGCCACGCTTCCAGTTGGACCTATTTCTTAATTATAAAGTGTTTATTCATTTATAAAGCTTGCAGCTTGTGAACACTGAATGAAACATTATATGTACAGTATCTGGCAGCTGGCAGGTGCTCATTGTAAGATAATTCCCTTCAAACTTTCTCCAACATCTCTTGACTTACTGGTAGGTTCTGGTGGCACAAATGGGTGTTTTTACCAAGAGACAACACAGGACTCTAAGCTGAATTTCCTTGTCTTGAATTGTGATACTGGTATCAGCATCATTTCAAGGGGCTTCTTTAGGGCCAACATCTACCCCAGGGCTTTGTGAGATGCAGCAATATTCTCAAGACAAATTTGTCAGGCTTCTGTAGGTAAGAAGAGGTCTGGTCTGAGTTAGAAGGGCCCTGACATTAAGAGGAGTAAGAGCCCACAGAATATCAGATAGTATAAATAGTTTTTATGTACAAAGAACAATAAAAGATACTATCCAGCTAGCAATAAAGACTAGAACTTCTTCCAGCCTTCTTTTACTCTAGAAATAAATCATATCCTAAACTTAGCAAGCCCTAAGCAGTAGAACAATGCAGGCTTGGAAAAGAAGGCTGAGACTCACAGTCCAGGGTCTTGAGATCGTTCTCACCTCCTCCTTTCTTGGAAGGAAGCAGCCTTCCTTTTTTAGACTGTGTAACAGGAGATCTCTGTAGTTCTCTGCTACTGAGACCAGAAGAGAAGTTGTGTCAAGATCAGACTAGTTTAGTGCTCACTCCAAACTACTTTCAACCCAAAAGTCTGCTTTGTTTTGATGTCCATTTATAGGTGCTGAACTCTGGAGAGGTCTCTAGGGTCCCTAATTTTACCTCCACATGGCAGGAAGAATACCCTGCTGAAGACTAGACAGAGGGCCAGTGTGGGAATGTCCCAGCTCTTCGGGTTCCTGGCAGGCCAATGTAGTCTCTAATATGAAAGACCAAGAGATGGGAGAGCACTGCCCTCAGACATCCCTTATCTTGTCCTTTTGCTGGAGGCCAGGGGTGCAATGAGTCAAGAGACCAAGGTTCCCGAGGGGCTCACTAGATCCTGGGGGAGACTTTCTCGGGCCTCCTGCATGCGGCGTCGGGCTCGATGAAATGCCTCTGTTAAGTAGGGGAGACAGAGCCATGTTATCAGCTGCTGTAGTGCACGGAGGAACATGGCCCAGGTGGCCAAGTGGGGGCAAGAGGAACCTACCCAGCACACTGTGAATGGAACTCTGCTGGCTGAATCCTTCCAGACGGTCCAATACACTCCGCATCCTTTTCTGGAGAGAGCTGGATTCCATGAAGGCTCTGCAGGGAAGCCCATCACACAGTCAGAGCTATTCTCCAGCCTTCAGGGACAAGAAGCTCACAGCAGAGGGCCAGGGTGACTCACCTGGACTGCTGCAGACAGTGCAGGTGGAAGGTGACGCTTCCTGTGGTCTCAGTGCGGAGTCCAAAGCGGCTCAGGCGCTCCCCCTTGGACACACAGTGGAGACGGGATCTGTTTCAGCAGTCTACACCTTGGGAACCATACTGGCTTTGCTACCATTCTTATTTCCATGGTTACAGAAAGCAACTCTAAGAAAATCTCATTCCATTACCTACATCCCAACCACTGAAAGGCTAGGTTGTACCAGACTCCCAGCCTCAGGAAGGAAAGGACTAAATAATGCTGAAACAAGGAACACCTAAGGGAGGACCCTTAATTCAAAATAGAAATAGAAACCTAACTTCCCAGCATGAAGTCTCCCCAGAGACGAATCACCTTGAAGGTCCCCGGCACCCGCACGTAAGAGAGGTCCTCCAACTCCAGAGAACCGCCAATGAAGAACCTCCTCAGCTCAGCCACTGGGTTAAGTTCCACGGGCCTCCATGTGGAGACTGTCAGGGTGTGTGAACCTGTGCAAGAGAAGAGAGGAAGAGGCCAGGTCCACAAAGGGCATGTGGCCCCATATCGATTCATTCCCCAGCAATGACACAGGCCTCCATGCCAGCAAAGCACCTAATCTAGTGAAGATGTGACCTCAGATGAATGTGAGTAAGGTTAAGAGTTCCTTAAATCAACCAGAAGTCAATCAGACAGGAATTCAAATGTCAGCTCTGTCAACTATCACTTATGTGTCCAGGACAGTGTATCAACCTTTGTGAGCCTCCTGGTTCCTTTATCTAGTAAAATGGAAATAACGGCAACACCTACACCTCACAGAATGATTAGTAGAAAGATGAGAATAATTTAGTAGAGTGCCTAGTACCTAGTCACAGACTGTCACTTTCATTTCAAAATGAACACCACAAGCCTGTTTACCATACGGCTTCTCCCCCTCAGCCACCAGTCCAGTCAGGAGAACACAGAGCAAATAACAGGCTGTCAAGCTGCTTGACCACAAAAGTCGTCCAATTCCACTCAGTTGTCTCAAATGTCCTCAAAGGAACAGGAATGAGTCAAGTGAATGCTCCTAATTCCTAATTAGCCCTACTTCTCACCAGAAGCATTTGAATCCTTGGGAGCACTGGACTTGTTCCTGAGACCTAGGACATGTGGACTCCCTTGAAGGGCAGGGACAAGAGGTTACCTGGGGTGGCAGGCAGCACCACAGCCCCATAGCCTTCCACCCGGTACCGCTGCCAGAAGTCCAGGGAGAGCACCTCACAGTAGAGCACAGGCCACTCCAGGAGAGCATCTGGGAACAGAGAGGGAACTGTCGGGGCACTGAAGACTTTTTGCCAAGAGAGGGAACTGGCTGAGGAGAACTGAGGCCACGATCAACTGCTGAGCTACTCACCAGCGGATTCATCCTCGTGGAGGAAAAAGGCTTCGAATGTGAATGGATAGGAGAAGTAAGCCACCTTGTCCTAAAAACAGAAATGTCACATTTTATATTTGGTGTCACAGGGTAGACCAGGCCTCTGCTTGAGGAATTTGTTCTCCTTCAGGCCAAATGACAAGATCACCTTCTCATGAGACACAAAAGGACAGCCAAATACAACAAAAGAGGACCCTAACCCAGGCAGCTCTGCAGAGCCCACAGAGAAGTTTGGCCCAAGGGCACGCCTACTAGCCTGAGAAGCCTCAAATTCATGGTGGGAACAGATTCCCATTCCCTTTCAGAAATCCTCACTCTGAATCCTTACCATTCCCAGGGACTTGGTGGCACAGGTCTGTGTTACTCCTGACAGCTGCTGTACAGCTGGACTTGACCAGTCTGAAAATCAAAGACCAGATACAATAAACGCCTCTGGGAAGAGAGTAAGACACTGAGAAAAAGGCAGATTCATTTATTCACACTATGGGTGAATAATTCATATATTCACTCCTACAATGTGTCATTCATTTACTAAGTGTTTGTTATGTACTGGACCATCTTGGGGATATCTTGGTAATCAAAGAGAAAAGATCCCTATCTGTCATGGAGCTAATATACTGGTATGCAAATAGGCAGACCTATGAGAGGCTCTCAAGGGGGGAAATGCTGCACTGAAAACAGAGCTGAGTAACAACACAGAGACATGTATACTCATTCATAGTGGGGGTGGGAGAATGCTTCTTAAAAGGAATACAGGCGGGCTGGGAAGTTGGCTCAGTGGTTGAGTGCTTGCCTTGCATGCATGAGGGCCTAGGTTCAATTCCTCAGTACCACATAAGCAGAAAAAAGCCAGAAGTGACTCTGTGGCTCAAGTAGTAAGGCATTAGCCTTGAGCTGAAGAGCTGAGGGATAGCACCCAGGCCCAGAGTTCAGCCCCACAACCGACAACAAAAAAAAAAGAAACACAGGCATAGCTGGTGCCAATGGCTCACACCTGTAATCCTGGCTACTCAAGAGGCTGAGATCTGAGCATCCCAGTTCAAAGCCAGCCTGGGCAGGAACATCTGAGAGACTCTTATCTCCAATAAACTACTCAGAAAACCAGAAGTGGTATTGTGGCTCAAGTGATAGAGTGCTTGCCTTGAGCTGAAGAGCTGAGAGACAACACGAGGCCTAGAGTTCAAGCCCCGTAACCGACAAAAAAAAAAGGTTCCAGATAAAGGAAATGGTCCTAAAAATGGGAATGAAGCTGGCAGTGTTCAAGAATAGGAAGAATATCTAGAATGCTGTATGGGAGAAATAAACAGTTCATTTAGAGATGAATTTTTTGTTTCTTCTAAGTGGGAGGGGAAGCTGTTGGGAGTTTTCGGCTCAAACGAGACACAACCAGTTTGCCTTTTTTTTGCGGGGGGTAGTGTTGCCAGTTTGGGCATTTGAACTCAGAGCCTTGGCATTGTCCCTGAGCTTCTTTTACTTAAGGCTAGCTAGCATTCTACTACTTGAGTCACAGCTCCACTTCAGGCTTTTTTGGTAGTTTATTGGAGATAAGAGTCTCACAAACTTTCCTGCTCTGGGGATGGCTTTGAATCACGATTCTCAAATCTCAGCCTCTTGAGTAGCTAGGATTACAGTCATGAGCCACCGGTGCCCAGCCTGTTTGCGTTTTTAAGAGCTTCATGTAGGTATGGTATCTGCAGAAGATGAACATTAAGAGAGAAGAAGCAGGAGGGTAAGTCAGAAATAATGCATTGGCTCAGGCAAGAGATGGTGGTAGCTTAGTATAGAGTGATGGGGAAAAAGGCAAATCCAGTGAAGCGGTTTTTGTTGTTGTTTTTGCCAGCACCGGGGTTTGAACTCAGGGCCTCATGCTTGTTCTTAACTACATCTCAAGCCCAGCTTTTTGCTGGTTATTTTAGAGGTGGAGTCTTTTGGAAGTTTCTGCTGGAACTGGCCTTCTCTCAGCCTCCTGAGTGGCTAGGATTACAGGCCACTGCTGATGAGCAGTGGCTCGGAACAATTTTTGAAAGGGCTGACAGAATGGATGGACTGACTTTAAGGAGTGAAAGAAAATGAGTAATTGAGGACATCTCCTAGGTTTTTGGAGTCAGCTAAGTGACTGACATCATTTTGCTAAGAGGGGGGAGATCAGAGAAGGGAAGTTTGAGGGAGGAAGGAAGAATTAAGACTATTCCTTGAGGCCAGGACTATTCCTTGAGGCTCATGACTGTAATTCCAGCTACGTAGGAGACAGAGACTGACAGAACTATAATTCAGCTTTAGCAAAAAAAAAAAAGTTAAAAATTAAAATTAATAATGAGGCCCTATTGCAACCAATAAGCCAGGAGTGGCGGCACATACCTGTGAGTTCAGCTACTTGGGAGGCCATAGATAGGAAGATTATAGTCAGGTCAGCCTGGGCAAAAAAAAAATGCTACTTGGAAAATAACTACATTTTAAAAAAAGAAAAGAAAAAAGTCTAGGGATATATGTCAAGTGAGAGCTGTTGTTTAGCAAACATGAGGCCTTGAATTCAAACCCCTGTACCACCAAAAAGAAAAAAAGGAAAAAACAAAACAAAACACTACTTCTTAGTCATGTTATACAGAAATAACAAAGAGGTAAGTGGATATGAGTCTGATGTGGAAGAGGTTAAGGTTAGTGTAGGGGTCTGGAAGTCTATGACATACAGATAGAATTTAAGCCACAGGATAGATGTGATCACTTAAGACAACAACAGGTAGAGAGCAGCAAAGGTCTAAGTTCAGAATTAGATATTCTCATAATTTAAAATCAACAGAGAGGAAGGAAGAATCTACCAAGGAGCCTCACAAGCCCCTAGTGAGATGACAGGAATGTGGCACAGTGTGACACAAAGAACGGAAGTGTGACAGATGCTGCAGTAAAGAGAAAGGTGAGTAGTGTAAAGGCAGAGAAATCCCCATTGAAACTGGCAATGACCTAGTGACCTATAACCTTGAAAAGACTGGTACCAGTGGGAGTGGGAAAGGAAGTCTGGCTGAATGCCTGCGGAACTGTCAAAACAGGTATAAGAACAGACTTAAGGATATTACTTACTAGTAGTTGGTAATTCTACAAAGAAGTGGATATAGAGATTGTCATATTCATAGCCTTGGGCTGAAACTAAAAGAGAAAACAGGAAAATTATTTTAGCTTATGACTTTGCCATACAATCCACTCCTAAGGAGCCCACATGTTCTGGAACAAGCCTTTTGAGGACCTAGAATCCTGTATGGTTCCAGGAAAGTATCATCATTGTTTCCTATCACAAACCAAGATATGGGGTAACCCAAGATGGGATAGACTACTCACAGCTCTACCAGATTCTTACCTAAGTATTAAGAGGTCTCTGTCAGACAAGACACTTACCTACCTCTCCATTTACAAAGAGCCGGAGGGCACCCGGGGCTGTCTAAGGTAGAGAGAAATGGACAATCAGGAGGCTTGGAAGTTACCAGCAACTTCCCAGCCCCACCCACAAATCTGAAGAGGAAATAACACAAAACTCTGGACCCCACTACCTTTCTCCCCACCCTGACACTTCTCCACAGACCATCTCCCTTTCTTTTTTTTTTTTTTTTTTTGTTTGTTTGGTCGGTTGTGGGGCTTGAACTCTGGGCCTGGGTGCTGTCCCTCAGCTCTTCAGCTTAAGGCAAGCGCTCTACCACTTGAGCTACAGCGCCACTTCTGGTTTTCTGGTGGTTTATTGGAGATAGGAGTCTCACGGTCTCTCCTGCCCGGGCTGGCTTTGAACCGCGATCCTCAGATCTCAGCCTCCTGAGTAGCTAGGATTACAGGCGTGAGCCACCAGCGCCCGGCGACCATCTCCCTTTCTAAGATGCACAGGAGAGGCTGGTAAGGTGGCTCAGTGGTAGAGCGCTTGCCTTGCATGCATGGGTTCGATTCCTCAGCACCACATAAGCAGAAAAAAAAAAAGCCGGAAGTGGCACTGTGGCTCAAGTGGTAGAGTGCTAGCCTTGAGCTGAAGAGCTGAGGGACAGCACCCAGGCCCAGAGTTCAGGCCCCACAACCAGACACAAAAAAAAATTTAAAAAAATAAAGATGCACAGGAGAAAAGCACGCAATTTAAATGGCAGGGAGGAGAATGTAGTATGGGAAATTATCCAGGTAAGAAAAAAAAAAGAGTACCTCTGATGTGAAAAGGGAAGCTGAAACCCTTTAGATGGCTGAGGTCAAGCAGCTTAAGCTTTCTTTTAAAACTATTTGTGTATCTGTCTCATCTGATTTGTGTGTGTTTGTTTGTATGTGTATGGGTGAGGGTGTGTGCCGGTACTAGGACTTGAACTCAAGGCCTTGTGCTGTCACTTGGGTATTTTTCAGTCTGGGCTGGCACTTGAACCACAGCTCTACTTCCAGCTTTTTTGTCAGTTAACTGGAGTCTCAAGAACTTTCTTGCCTGGCTGGCTTTGAACCACAATCCTCAGATCTCCAGCTTCCTGAGTAGCTAGGATTACAGGTGTGAGACACTGACACGTGGATCTTGTCTAATTCTTTAACATGAATGTCTATTGCTCAGGCAATATAAAAATAATAAAAGTTAATTTTTCAGAGACTGAGCCAGGTATGGAGAAATCAGTTGGCAGTTCATCCTTGTTGGTAGATCCAGAAGTGAAACTGGAATGAAGACATAGAACAGGACACAATAACTGACTTAAACCCTGTTTCTTTTGTTTTGTTTTTGCGAGTCCTGGGGCTTGAACTCAGTGCCTGGGCACTGTCCCTGAGCTTCTTTTGCTCAAGGATAGCACTCTACCACTTGTATCAGAGCGCCACTTCCAGCTTTTTCTGTTTATGTGGTACTAAGGAATCAAACCCAGGGTTTCATGCATGCTAGGCAAGCACTCTACCATTAAGCTACATTCTCAGCCCCAACCAGGTTTGTTTTTAAAGAGCCAAAATATATGACCAGCAGAAATGACATTCAATTCAAATGCAGCATTCTAAAAAGACATTTACATGAAGGGTGAGAAAGGTATTTTTCATCCTCACATATATTTTTTGATTAACTATAAAGTAACACATAAATGCACTACTGATAAAAATTCAAACCCACCTAAATTTGGGAAATAAGTAAAAAGCCCTCGTAGGTTCTTCTCACTACCCAACATGACCTACAACCTCTTATCCCTCCTCTCTGTGTGGACCCTTTCACACCTCTCCCTATGCATTAACAGTTTTCTTTTCGTATGCGATATTTTAAAATAGTTCTTTGATTTTCTTTTTAAACTTCAGAGTATGTTTTGGAGGCCTTTAAGAGAGGCAATATTACTTATCCAAAGAATATTCTGGTTAACACAGCTCACAGTGCTGCAGGAAGCCAAGCTACCCACCATCTCAAAGTCCGTGCCCACGAGGCTGCTCAGATAATCCTTGTGTCGGCCATAAAGCTGAGGAAACAAAACAAAACAAACCTCAAGATGTGACTCAAGCCAGGCCAGGGGTCAGTGCTGAATGGGAAGGAGAAAAGAAGCAATAACTGGGAAGGCCAGTGGGAGTGGGAGGCCCTATAATCCCAGCCACCAGCCACTGAAATGAAGCAGCCATTTTGAAATGAAGCACAGAGGCTCTGGAGTGAGCTGGGCTGGGACTGAATCTGGCAACTCAATCTTTGTTTCATTTATAAAATGGTAACAATAAAACTGCTCACCTCAGTGGGCAGATCTAAATGAAATATGTGCTGTGCATTGAGCATAGTCAATGTACAAATATATGAATATATATGCTGTTATGATGTTGCAGTGAGAGCAAAGCCTTTTTTCTGCTATGTCCACTATGCATCAGGGTTGGATGAGCTGTGAAGAGCAAAGGTCCTCCCCAGCAACCATAGAATCTGCCTCAGACAAGGCCTCTTCTCCAGGTGCCAGGACTCCTCCCCCTGGGACACAGAATGAACTAGCTCTCACATCCTTAAACACACGCTGCTCCCGTTCCTCCTCCTCAGGCTGGGCGAGGGAGGACACGTTGTCGATGGTGTACTTCCACAGCTCCTGCTTCTCCCCCTCAGTCTCGATTCTGTAAGATCAAAGCCACAAAAGCACCACTTTTGATGATGAGAGACCAGGCCCTCCAGACCCAACCCAGGGATTCAGCATCACTGGCCACACAGCTCACTTGGCAGTACAATGTAATGAAGACAGTCAAAATGTCGACCAGAAGGAAATAAAGTGGCAAAGCAGAAAGGGCACCAGAGAACAAGTCCAATGGAAACCCTGGCTGCACAACATCCTTGGCACCTAGTTCTTACACCTAAAAAGAGACAATGGGTAGGTGCTTTCTAACTTACAGTTCTGTTCTCTCAAACAGAGATGAAGAAGAGATGAAGCCCAGCCTGGCTGAGTTCACCTCCCACACTGGTCAGTCTCATCTCAGCAGTACAGAGACTCCTTTCTACTTATCTACATGGCTAATATGATTCCTTTCAAATTGCTTGCATATTTTCTGTTAGATTCTTAAAGGCGTATGATCCAGAATTGAATATGAACTACTGCCTGGGAATTTGGGAACCGATGAAGGGCTTTCTGGGAATCTGTTCAACTATGATGAAGAATAAAAGCCAAGGAAGGAATGCTAGTTTCTGCCACCCCTTCTTTCCTCTCCTCACCTGTAGGGTCCTTTGAGACCAGTGAAGTCAGGTTTTACTGTGATCACGCCGTTGCTGTCCACCTTCAGAGTACAGAGGACATGTTCATATGTCTTATAGCCAAGCCTAGGAATCAAGAAATCATCATCAAGCGGGGCGCTGGTAGCTCATGCCTGTAACCCTAGCTACTCAGGAGGTTGAGATCTGAGGATTGCCATTCAGAGCCAGTCCAGGCAGAAAAGTCTGTGGGACTCTTATCTCCAATGAACCACCAGGAAACTGGAAATGGCACTGTGGCTCAAAGTGGTAGAGAGCTAGTCTTATCAAAAGAGCTCAGGGACAGTGCCAAGGCCCTGAGTACAAGCCCCATCACTTTCTCTCTCTCTCTCTCTCTCTCTCACACACACACACACACACACACACACACACACACACACACACACACACACATAATATCACCATCAAGATTCCCTCCAGGGAACAAGGAAGAGACTTCGGGTTGGGGGAGGATGGTGGATACAGGGACAGTTATCATGGTCAAATGGTATCTTCTAAGTACAGTGAAGAAGGTCCTCCCTCCCTCCCTCCTTTCTTCCCTCTTTACTTTCCTCCCTCCTTCTCTCCTGTATGCTCCAGATGACTACAAGAGAAAGGTGATAGTGAATGACAGAAAAGGGTAGGTTCTGAGCTGACAGTGAGAAGCTTCACTTACTTTCCATAGGGCCCTAGGTCTGCCATGATGTACATTGTCTGCAGAGGGGTATTAATGACATGGTTGTTCCTGATGAACTCCTCGGAGGGTTCCCAGGTGATGATGCGTGACTTGAGGATGCCACCCTCCCTGGAAGGGACCAGAGGAACTGTCATTCCCCTGGATATAACTCCTGAAGATGCTGAAGGGGAACGTAGGGGAACATAACCCAGTGGAGGCCCATAGCAGAATAAGAAGCTTGAGCTGGTGGAAATGCCGACAACCCTGTCATGAGGGGACCACAAAGGCCTTCCGCACCCCCACAAACTCGCACTCACGTCCCTCGCCTGTCCTGCCGCCGCCGTCTGACATTGGCCATTCGCTCGACCAAAAACGATGGCATCTCACTGGCTGAAGTGGTCATTTTCTGACAGTGCTGGAAAAAGAGAAATGCTGTGAAGGCCATTTGATCCAGGCCATATAGGGCCAAACACCTGAAGGGAAGCCATCCTCTTAGGACCTCCTCCCAGACCTGAAACTCAGGGACAGCCTCACAGTTACACATGCAAATCAAGGGGAGCAGCAACACAACAACCCAAAGAAGGTGTCAAGGTCTTTGCCCTAGAATTTAGAAATGTTATTTATGTTCATCTTAAAATTGATCTATGGGCTGGGAAGGTGGCTTAGTGGCAGAGTGCTTTCCTAGCATGCATGAGGCCCTGAGTTCGATTCCTCAGCACCACATAAACAGAAAAAGCCAGAAGTGGCTCAAGTGGTAGAGTGCTAGCCTTGAGCTGAAAAGCTGAGGAACAGCACCCAACCTCTGAGTTCAAGCCCCACGACCAACCAAAAAAACAACAAAAAGTAAAATTGATCTATAGTCTGAGTGAATACTGACAAAAAACCTGGGTTAGTTTGCTTAGGAGATACTGAAATAAACTAGGAAAGACTTCACTTGGATAACAAAGGACATTTCGATTTGCTTTTCCGAAACAGATAACTCTTTATATGCTACCAACTCCTGAAGATAGCATGCCAATCTCTCAAGACTACTCATTCAACATCTGCTCCTTGCAGACATCTAAAGGGCCACAGGAAAAAGACAATCAGAAAATATAGGCTCTATCCTCAAGGTGGGTTCTTGCTGCTTTTGTTACTGTTTTTCCCATAGTAGGGCTTGAATTCAGGGCCTGGGCACTGTCCCTTAGCTATTCTGCTTAAGGCTGGCACTCTACATTTGAGTCATACCTCCACTTTCAGCTTTTTGCTGGTTAATTGAAGATAGTCTATCAGTTGGGCTGGGATGTAGCTCAGTGGCAAAGCACTTGCCTAGCAAGTGCAATATCTTGGGTTTGGTCCCCAGTACCAAAAATGACAAGACAAAAAAAAAAAAGATTCTATCAGATTTATATGCATGGGCTGGCTTCAAACCATGATCCTCAGATATCACCCTCCTATGTAGTAGGGTTATAAGTGTGAGCTACCAGCCCCCAGCCCCCAAGTCATTTTAAATATCCCTGAGAAAACAGGACAGATACAATGACTGAAGAAAAATGTAAAACAAGTCTATATGAGAAGGTGACATAAGCATATGGAGGACATAACCATTTCCCATGACTACAGTGGATCTAGATTTTTCTAGGTGCACCCACCTATTTATCACTGTGCATACTGCCAGCTTCCCTAGATTCCAGCAGGCAGAGTGCAGTAGTCATACCATCTGCAAACTATGCCTGGTCTACTCCAGCCTGGCTGCCAGCAGCTCACTGAAGCTTTGAGACAAGCTACCTCTCTCCCACTATACCAGGCTTCTGATTTAACACATAGAACTAGGGAGGCCAGAAAAGTAAGGCAAACAAGGAAACTATGGTGCCACACAAAGAATTATACCTCTTCCAAGTTGGTGTATCTATCGGAGTCAGTGTAGGTAAAGATTCGTCGATTCTTCCTGCCACCAGAACTCTCCAGTTTGAGGATCTCTTGGCGGTACTGATAATCCAAGGGACTCTGACATGCTGCTTCATTCTGGTACAGATCTACTTCAAACTGAGATCACCATAAGAAAATAGCTATATCAGACTTTAGTTCCTGTAACTGTTTTGATGCTGGTCAAGTAGTTGATGCTACTTGACATGTTTTCATAACCAATTCTCCTTTGTTTAAATAATGGAAGGCAGGAGATCCAAGAATGTCAAAAGGTAAAGAGACAGGACAATGGCAGCCATAGTATTATTTTCCCCCTTGTAAACAAACAGGAGAAAAATAAATTGTCATACTTTTCTAGAAATCAGTTTGACAGTATCTATCACTAGCCAGGTACAGGTAGGGAGGTGGAAGTAAACTAAACAGATAATTGATGCTGGCTTACCTGGCTAAAGAGCTTCTCTTGCCATCCAATCACAAGCTCTTCCTCTTCCTCCTCCTCTGGGCGGTGTCCACCTCCAAACACAACAGTGAGTCAAACACCTGAATCAAATCAGCACTACTTCTTGCTCTGTGGATGTCTATAGCCCAAGTCTCTATTCTTTGTATTTATTTTGAAGGGATAGGATCTTGCTGTATAGCCCAGGCTGGCCCTGAACTCTTAATTCTACCTTAGCCCTTTGAGTGATGGGATTACAGGTGTGAATCACTTGTCTGGCTTCAAAGTCATGGCTTTTATATTTGCTACAAAACCTACTGGATTTTTCAGTGATTTATTAAACATTCAACCTAGGCAACGTTTCAGGCTAGCAAAGCTATGAATATAATCCAGTTTCTAAGAGCAGAATACAAGATTAGAATCTGAAAGTCTTAATCATTACTCTAAATAAAAAGTACTGGGGTTGGGAAGGTGGCTCAGTGGTACAGCGCTTGTCTTGCATACATGAGGCCCTGGGTTCCATTCCTTCAGCACTACATAAGCAGAAAAAGCCAGAAGTGGCACTATGGCTCAAGTGGTAGAGCGCTAGCCTTGACTGAAGAGCTGAGGGACAGTGGCCAGGCCCAGAGTTCAGGACCCACAACCAACAAAAAATAAATAAATAAATAAATCAGGAGTGGTGAGTAGGCCCTGAGTTTAAGCCCCAGGACCAACAAAAAAGAAAGAAAAAAACTGCACATTTTTTCTTTCCTATTCCTGAGGCCACATATAGAATCCTAAAAACTAAGGAGATTCAGCATCCAGTAAGAAAGTCTAATAAATTAATTTTAAAGAACTAAATCTAATAAACCCCTGAGTGTGCCATTTTTAGAGATACATGCTTCCCACTGGCCCACCCTCTTTTCCAGAAATACTTCTGAATAGAAAGATAAAACAACCTAGGTGCCAGTAGCTAATGCATGTAATCCTTGCTACAGAAGGCTGAGATCACAGTTTGAATCCAGCCCCAGCAGACAAACTCTTATCTCCAACTAACCAGCAGCAGAGATGTAATTCATGTGATAGAAGACCAGCCTTGAGGAAAAAAGCTAAACAAGAGCTTGAAGCAGTGAGTTTATGCCCCAGTTCAGGCACAAAAGAGAAAGAAAGTAAAGAGGAAAGAAGAAAGGAGGAAAGAAGGAGGGAGGGAGGGAGGCAGACAAGGAGGGAGGGAGGGAGGCAGACAGGGAAGGAGGGAGACTGGAAGGGAGAGGGAGGGAGGGAAACAGGGAGGGAGGGAGGAAGTAAGGGAGGGAGGGAGGAAGAAAGACTAGTAACTAAAATGTTTATAAGTATACTTAAGAGTTTGGAGAATATTTTTCTATTATATAAAAAATGTCACAGCTGCTATTGAGGTTGTCGGGCAAGTTTATAACATATCAAATGTATGGCATTTATTTCCCTACATTTGACCACAATTTGGATCAGTATCCTGATAGCAGAAATGTCTTAATTTTCATACATAATATGATGCAGTAATTACAATTCTCTAGGTTTGAGTCGTAGTTCCACCACTTACTATCTATGTGATGTTAGGCAAAGAACTGTACCTCTTTATACCTTCCATTCCTCCTTAAAACACACACACACACACACACACACACACACACACACACACACACACACACATCTACTCTTTTAAAAGGTAATTCTAGTGTCCCAGACCCCTTTCTCAAACTCCAATGAGTCTCATCACCACCATAACACCCACTGGCAGTTGGGTGAGGCCTAAAAGTGGCCAAGTCTATGAGGTCCTTCCCAGGCTGGACAGCAGGTTGATAGTGAAGAAAGCTGCTTGATGTGATTCTTTGCAGATGAACTCTGTCAAGAAAAGAGAAGCTCCAAATGAACGTTACAAGGCAAACCACCAGGCGACAGAGCAAGAAGGGGGGGATCAAAGCAGAGGAGGTGGAGTTGCCTGGCGGGTGGCACAGCCCCCCCCCCCCCCGAGGTGGCGGGCGGGACTCGGGGGGCCCCACTGGGAAATTAGAAAGGGTGTGTTGGGGACGGGGCTCTGCGGGACTTGGGAGCAACACGTTCTTGAAAGGTCTCAGGAAGGAGTGCTAAGGAGCTGAGGCTGAAGAAAGGTCTCAGGCAGAACGGGAAGAAGTGCGGTGATCCGGCCGGAAACAGTCGGAATCGTAAGCGGAAGTGGGAGCAGCGGGAGCAACTAAAAGTTCTGGCTCGGATAATCTTAACAGTATACAAATCGTGGGGGGTCCCTCGGCTAGGGTGGTGCGACTACCGGAGGCGCAGGTTGCACACAGGATCCCGGGAGCGATACACGGCCTCTCCGGTGTCAGTGTTCCAGATGGTCTCCGCCATGACACTCCCGAGGCGAGACGACGCGCGACTGCGCCGGAAAGCGAGCCGTCCGGTTCCCCTAGCAACGGAGATGCTACCCTGGAGAAGCCCCGGTTCCCCTAGCAACGGAAATGCTGGGCTGGAAAGACTGCGCGTGCGCAACCCGCCGCAGCCCTTTGCTTGGGCAAGCGCAGTCCTCCAGTCGAGCTTTGAGGCGGGCACTGTGATAGGCCGGAGTCCTTCCGGTCACAGCTTACACAGTGTGCGTGAAGAAGGGTCCCGATGATGGGACCAGACCCGGGTGACCTAAGTCCTCTTCCCACAAAGACACACTTTTCTTGGGTTGAACACATGGAAACTTTGGCCAGGAAATTGGTGGATGTGACTTGAAAGAACACACATTTCCTAGCGCTGGTGGCACATGCCTGTAATCCTCACTACTCAGGCTGAGACCTAAGGATGAGGGTTTGAGGCTAGCCCGGCAGGAAAGTCTGTGACTCTGATCTCCAAGTAACTTTGTGCTGTGGCTCAAAGTGGTAGAGCTCTAGCTTTGAGCACAAAAGCTCACGAACAGCGCCCAGACCCTGAACACACACACACACACACACACACACACACTATTCTTAAAGCAGTTAGGAAAGATATGAAGCAAACATAAAAACACGTTTTTGGAATTTTTTTCCAAGGGTCATGTTGGTATTTACTGAGCTAGAGAAAGACAGGAAAGTCAACAGGAGACACAAGGAAGCCAGTAGTAAAGAAGGAAAGATGTTTTTATGAACTAGTTCTTCCCTTGGGTGTGTTTTTGCTGGATAGCTAAGTCATGCACTAAAAAGTCATGCCTCTTCGAAAAGCAAACCAAGTGACATTCAAAAGTAATGGTTCACTGGACTATCAAAAGGACACAGCCTCAATTCTGCTACTCCCCCAACAGAGGAAGCTATTGTCCTCTCAATTCAGGAATCAAACGTTACCTTGATGGTATGTCATTAGAAGCACTGGTTATCTTAGCCTCAAGTTGCATAACACCACAAACTTAACATAAACAGTATCCTTTATTTAGGACCTAATAGGGCCTGAGCACTTTATTTGAATTAACTTCAGTCCTCATTGAAACCTCCAAGTAGGCATTTTTATTCACACATTTAACAGATAAAGTTAGAGAATGCCAGAAGTTAAAAGGCCTGCTAAGCTGGGCACTGGTATACTTATATCAGCAATCCCAGCTCTTCAAGAGACAGATCTATCTAAGGTTTGAGGCCTGCCCTGGCAAACAAATCCGAGAGACTCTTACCTCCAATTAACAACAACAAAAAAATGCTAGAAGTGCAAGGGTGGCTCAAATGGTAGCACCACCCTTGAGCTAAAAAGTTAAGGAGAGCTTGAGTCCCTGCATTAAAGCCTCAGGACTGGCACAAAAATAAATAAGCCAGTCACCAGTGGCTCACACCTGTAATCCTAGCTACTCAGGCAGCTGAAGTCTGAGGATCATGGTTCAAAGCCAGCCTGGGCAGAAAAGTCTCTGTGAGACTCTTATCTCCAATTAACCACCAGAAAACTAGAAGTGGCGCTGTGGCTCAAAGGGACAGTGCCCAGGCCCAGTTCAAGCCCCATGACCGACTAAAATTAAAAAATTAAAAATAAATAAGTATTTTCTTTCTGTGCTTCTCTCTTTCTTAATATTTTCCAGGAAATTACAAAAATATTCAATAAAATGCTAATGTCAGTATTCTCATTTTCTTTTTCTGTAAGTTTCTGCCAGTTATAGGATACTTTCAAGTTTGATTTTGTTACATTCCTACCTGGACTTTCTAAATCATTAGCAATCTTTTCAAAGTCAACATTTATATCCATACTATGAGTTTGAGTCAAAGTTTTGGCTATTGCTCTAAAAGAATCTAGCTATTGGAGTTTAAGTTTGGTGGTGATTCAAATTCTTTTGAGTGCAAACTCTCCTCAGTTCTGTCTGAAACTATGAGATGTGGTAATTAATAGTTTGCTCCACAAGTCATTGTTTCATTCAACAAATATTTATTGATTGTCTTGAGGTATACAGTATACAAAGGTTTCCAACCTCGGGGCTGGGAAGGTGGCTCATTGGTAGATTCCTCAGCACCACATAAACAGAAAAAGCCAGAAGTGGTGCTGTGGCTCAAGTGGTAGAGCGCTAGCCTTGAGCTGAAGAGCTGAGGGACAGCGCCCGGGCCCAGAGTTTAGACCCCATGACCAACAAAATAAAAGTTTCCAACCTCATAGAATTTACATTACAGATGGAGTAGAGAAAGTAAAAAGTAAAATATTGTATAATATGTGGTGGTTAGGAAAAGTAAAGCAAGGACAGGTAATAAGAATTGTGGGAGGAGAAGAGCTAGAAAATTTTAAAAGAGAATCAGGAAATTCACACTGAAACTGTTATGTAAGCAAATTCCTGAAGATAGTGAGGATGTCACATAGTGGTCTGGAGTCTTCACATTCCAGGCAGGAAGACAACAAATGCAACACCAGGTGGTAAGGTATGAGTATGCATTATATTTACCATCAACTGGAAGTGGTGCTGTGGCTCAAGCGGTAGAGCGCTCGCCTTGATTTGAAAAGCTGAGGGACAGTGCCCAGGCCCAGAGTCCAAGCCCCATGACCGATCAAAAACTAAACTAAACTAACTAAATAAATATATTTACCATCAACTGCATTATAATTATGTATACATGAATATATGCATGTGATTAGATTAAATCTGATTCCAAGCTCTCTCTCAGTAAAGCCAGCGAAATGTTCCATGTGAGTCATTATTGTGACCCTTCTCACTCCTTGAACTCAATGTAAAGAACCTATGCTATAAACAGGGGCCTTCAGTCCATCCTGGTTGGATTAGGAAGGTCCATAGCCCCACCTCAGAAGTTGGGCAGGTGTCTCTCTGCTCCTCATGTCCCTCTTCCCCATGACCAACTTGATTCCCCAGAGACTACAGTCCCTAGGGTTGAGTCCTAGATATCCATGTGTATCCCCATCGAAGATCTTGTTCCACCCAGGAGCCACTTTGAGCCACAGCTCCACTTCTGGTTTTGGAGTAGTTAATTGGAGATAAGAGTCTCATATAGACTTTTCTGCCTGGGCTGGCTTCTGAATCCTAATCCTCAGATCTCGGTTCCTGAGTAGCTAGGATTATAGTGTTAAGCCACCAGTGCCTGGCCCAAGGATATTCCTAACCTACCATAAACTCATCATGTGTGTTTCACCTGATAATCTTCCCTTCCTCTACTTCCCTACTTAATTCCACCTTCCCTTCATACTTCTGCTGTCTGTTAATCAGCACAGTCTCATTCTCAACTGGTGAGACTGCATGTTACATGCCCTCAAACTATTGGTACTCCTATTTCCCAGTTTCTAGTTATATAATGGACATGTAGTTTATTTTTTAATTACCATCAACTCTAGGCTAGTTATATAATAGATATGAGATATGTGGTTTGTTATTTTTTAATTACTATCAACTCTAAGCTAGTTATATAATGGACATATATTTATTATGTTTTTGTGGTGTGTGTGTGTGTGTGTGTGTGTGTGTGTGTGTGTGTGTGCATGTTGGTCAGGGAGCTTGAACTCTGGGCCTGGGTGGTATCCCTCAGCTCTTCAGCTCAAGACCAGTGCTCTGCCACTTGAGCCAGAGTATCATTTCCGGTTCTGTGGTGGTTAATTGGAGATAAGGGCCTTATGGACTTTCCTGCCTAGGCTGAGGCTTTGATCCTCAGATCTCAGCTTCCTGAGTAGCTAGAATTACAGGCTGAGCCACCGGCACCCAGCTATTATTGTTTTTAACTACTATCGACTCTAAGCTACTTATGTAATGGATATGTGGTTTATAATTGCTTTTATTACTGTCAACTCTAAGTTCCATCTGTCTGACATCCTCAGAACTTACGTATCTGGTACATGGCAGGAGTAGAGTTACTACCAGAATAGAAGGAATTCCACTGCAGTCTGTTCTAGCATCTCACCCCATTCCAGCCTCCACCACAATCTTCCAGAGCAGCAAGTACTTGGTAGGGTGGAGTCCCAGCAGGGAAGGAGAGAGACCACAGTCATTTACAGTATGTCCTGGTGAGCACACATCATTTACAGTATGTCCTGGTTGAGCACACATCCCAGTATCCAGCAGCCTTCCACATGGTGGACTAATGAGCAGCAAGTAGGAAGCATTCTGCGGATAGCTGTTAAGAACTCCAGTCTCCATCTGGCTCAGAGGCTGGGAAAGTATCTCGACAAGAGTAAGGGCTCATGGGTCCTGTTGCTTCTGATTCTTTGAAGTTCCTTCTTAGGTTGATAAATGGGCTCCAGCTGCTGTTTTTCTTCCAAATGCAAGGGAACCAAGATTCAAATGTTCCTCATTATCCTCATGGTTCTCACTGATTCTGTGATGAACTGTGGTGGGGAAGGGGTATGGGGAACCTCCTAGGGGAAAGGAAGAATAGAAAATTGCATTGATGACACCTTCTATATACTTTATATAGCCATACCATTTTATTCAGATTAGAAAATGGTCTCCACAAACCATTTTAGAACCATTAGTCAAGACTTAAATGACTGGGTTAAGCAAAAGTTGATTTCTATACCAGTGTCATCATCTTGATTATGAAGTATTGATTGCCTAACACAATTTAGAACTCCCAGGGAGTTTCTGATATAATTGAGGCAATAGGGAAGATACATATCAAAATTGGACGCCAAGAGAAGGTGGTTCACACCTGTAATCCTACCTACTGATGAGAATGAGATCTGGAGGATCTCCATTTCTGCCAACTTGGGCAGAAACGTTCATGAGACTTAGTCTCCACAAATAACCAGAAAAAAGCAGGCTGGAGATGGAGGTATGGTCCAAATGCAACAGTGGGAAGAAAGGAAAGGAAGGAAGAGGGGGGAGAGAGAGGGAGGGAGGGAGGAAGGAAGGAAGGAAGGAAGGAAGGAAGGAAGGAAGGAAGGAAGGAAGGAAGGAAGGAAGGAAGGAAAGAAGAAAAGTAGGAAGGGAGGGGAGAGGAAAGGAAAGGAAAAAAAGAAATTATAAACACAAAGAGGAGGAAAGAACCAATGCACTTACAGAGCTTATAAGACAGAGAAGTCTTCATGAAGATAAACCTTGAGCTTAGACACTAGAATGAGGGAGAGGGAGACAGAGACAGAGACAGAGGCAGACAGTGAGAGACAGAGACAGAGTAAGAGAGAGTATGGATTGTGTGCCACATTGGGGAAGAATGACCAGGTTTTCTGGAAAGAAGAGCTTCAGTAAAGGACTAGTGTGTGCTATTTGATAAACAGATGCTTAAGCAGTATAGAACCTTATCTAAAACTTGACAGTTATCCTGTGGATAGAAGTTTGTGGGCCAAAAACTTTAGTGTAGAGGAGGAAGTATGAATTGAGAAAGAGGGTGGCAGGAGAAGGAGATGGGCTTAGAGCAAGACAGAGACAACTTAGGGCAGAAACAGAAAGTGGGGAAGGAAAGGAAGAAACAGAGATGAGAGAGTTATGAAGGGAAAATGGAGAGCATGTGGTGACTGGTGAGATGGGAGGAAGATAGGAAGAGAAAAGGAGAAAAGAGGAAGAAACCAAGAGCCCTGGAAGTCTCCCTGTTTTCCAACATGAGTGACAAAGAGAATGAACACATTTCCTGAAGAGTTTATCTTCCCCTTTCTCAATAAGATTCCTCCCATTCTCTTGTTTCTGGCTGACCTTGGAACTTAGGAGAACAGCTTTGGGGAAAACTGTCCTACCACATCCCAGCTGCTTGTAAGGATGAAAACAGGGTTCTGATCATGGTATTGTGTAAAGAGAACTGGAGGATATTTGATGTGTATGGAACTGTACAATGAAACAGAGGATGCCTGGATCTAGGACCTCTTAGATTTGATGGTTCACAACCAAATTTTAGCTATCAGAGCCAGAGCCAATATTATTGTTGTTGTTTAGTATATCCACTTCTCTTTACAGATAAGGAAAGAGAGGCCTCAGAATAAAGGTAATTTCTCCAAGATCACATGACCAGAGAACAGCAAGCTAGGGCCAGAGCTTCATTTTCTAAGTCTTAATAGCCCAGTGCTCTTTGCTGATTGCTTAGCATCACACCTGCTAGAAAGAGATGGGTACACATGTGCTTGCTTGAGAAATGAGGCATTTTATTGAAATGATTTCTTCTCTATGGATTTACGATAAAGCTTATTTTATTTTATTCCTCAGAGAATAGCAATAATGATTCAAAGTTTTTGTTTAAAACTCGATAGGTATTTGTGACATATGATATTTGGCTTACCACCCCATTTCTATCCTGACCATCTGAGGATTTATCTTGGGTCAAGTTAAATTGTCTTGGTTGAGCTTTGAGATGTGATACTTTTCCCAGCCATCTCTCTGCATTATCCTGGCATGACAGAAAAATTGATCTGGCATCTTTTTTTCTTTTTCTTTTTTCTTTTTGTTGGTTGTGGGGCTTGAACTCTGGGCCTGGGCGCTGCCCCTCAGCTCTTCAACTCAAGGCTAGCACTCTACCAATTGAGCCACAGTGCCACTTCCAGCTTTTTCTGCTTATGTAGTGCTGAGGAATCGAACCCAGGGCCTCATGCATTCTAGGCAAGTACTCTACCACTGAGCTACCTTCCCAGCCCTTGACCTGGCATCTTTTTCTTTCTTTTTTTTTTTTTTTTTTGTCGGTCATGGGACTTGAACTCTGGGCCTGGGCACTGTCCCTCAGCTCTTCAGCTCAAGGCGAGCGCTCCACCACTTGAGCTACAGCGCCACTTCCGGTTTTCTGGTGGTTTATTGGAGATAGGAGTCTCACGGTCTCTCCTGCCCTGGCTGGCTTTGAACCGCGATCCTCAGATCTCAGCCTCCTGAGTAGCTAGGATTACAGGCGTGAGCCACCAGCACCCGGCATGGCATCTTTTTCATCTGAAGCAAACTTACGAAAATTCACAAATTGTAAGCTAATTAAGGGGACAGAACAAGGGAAGAAAAAATATGATGCACAGAAATACTAAGAGCTCGGTAAATATTTAAGAGGAAGAGAAAAAGAGGAAGGAGGGAGAGACAGAACCTGACAGGAAATGTGCCTTGGTGCAAGAAGAGGGATTTTCCACTCATGGAGAGCAGGGAGGGACAGCATTCTGACCACCCGCCCCAGGGGTTCTTGGGACTTTCCTCTGTCCACTTCACTAGACCAGTTCCCTGGGAGGCAAAACTGGACAAAACTGGTCCTTTGGTTTCAACATGCTGAAGGTAATTGGAAAAATTCATTGATACTGGGTTTGCCACTTAAAGCCCTTATATTATGTCAATCTCAGAAGTCAACAAACACCGGGATGACCCACTCACTAAATTCTGAGAAGACAGCAGAGCTTCTTCCTGTCTCTCTCAAGGGAAACACAGAACCCAACACAGACATTGTCTTGTCTTTTCCAAAATCCTTCCTCGAAAGGAAGCTGTCTTACAATATCCCCATCTGTCCTCAGAGCCCACATGGCTCCGAGACACCATTCAGGGAAGTTTTGATCATTTTCCTACCCCTCCAGAGCCAGGGATGGCATAAACCTGGAAGCCCATCTCTTAGGTAAGACAGAAAGGTGAGTCCCAAAGACACGACGACACTGGCCTCTGGAGCCCTCCTAAGGACAAGAAGTCCATTTGTTTAATGTTCTAGGAAGCCAACAAGAGGAAATGCACTTTAGCTAGAAAAGGAAATAAAACCTGCCTAACAATGCGTGACTGCCAAGTCAGCGGGGTAAAGGGTAAAAACAGACAGCTAGAAAGGAGAGTGGGCTTGGAATGGAGATGATATCTGAGTGGTGGGGATGGCTGGGAGGCCATGGCTCAGCATGAGCCATGAGCACGATCGCTTCAAGTAGATGGGTAAGTCTGTCATTGACATGCATGCCCCCTTTGACCAGCCAAAGGTGTGTGTGTGTGTGTGTGTGTGTAGCTGCAGCATACTGCAGTCTAACACTGGAAGGAAATAAGGGTAAGTCAACCATGTCTGAGGTCAGCCTCATCTATAAACTACAAACTCCTACAAAATCTGTGTGTGTGTGTCTGTGTTTGTGTCTGTGTCGGTGTCTGTGTCTATGATGCACTGGGTTTATGAAGCGTAGTGTCACTGGGCACTTTCTGTTGTTTTTGCTTCCACTATTGTTCAAACATCTTGGATTCTCTGTGCAGACTTATGAAAGCTGCTGGCCTTTTTCATTTTCTCCTGGATTTTCTGTCTCCAACCTCCATTTCTCAGGCTGATTGGCCACTCCCTGATGGGGAACCATATAACTTGGAGTGAAAAGATTTGACTAGACTGAAATAAGCCCATGAAAACAAGTCATCACTGTCATGTCACCAAATGTCAGGCATTCAGATTAGCTGATGGCAACACATTCATTCCTATGCTTCATGTCAAGGAATGTTTCATACGAGGACCAAAAGATGGGCCATAATGTGCTGACACTAGCACTGCCCCAATCCTGACCATTACAGGAAGGTCAAACCTAGAACATACCTCAGCATGACATAACAGGACAAATAACCAGTGTCAATCAGACCTAAATTTTGTTGCTATTCTGAATATAGTAGCTCAGTTATGTTGCACATAGGAAGCAGTGTTATGGCAGGGACATTTTTTAGAAGGAAGGTTTATCTTGAAATCATTTGGAACCAAATAGATCAATATCCATCTAGAGAATAGGGTTGTATGTCAGTGGTAGAGCACTTGCCTAGCATGCACCATGAGGTTTGAACCTCAGCAACACACACACACACACACACACACACACACACACACACACACACACACACACACACACAATCCATCTGAAGACATCACTTCCTAAAGGTATAGATATGAAACCCAGAGCAGGATTCAACTGGGAGTGGTTAGATGCAAAAAAAAAAAAAAATACTTGGCCAAGATGCTGAAATGTGTTTCAAAGAAAACAAGAAGAGCCTGAAATCTTGCTCCTCTTTCCTGAATTCAGCCTTCTTCTGAGATGCCCAGCTCATTTTAACTTGATTCATCATAAGAGAAACATTGTTACATTCCAACCAGGAGAGGAGGACATCACTCTTTGGAAGGTAAACTGGGGGAAAGAGGGGAAATGGGTTTTGATTAATGTGTTTCTGAACGTTCTCTCAAAGCATATCTATTTTATAAAATGGTTTATGTCTTCAATGGCCTATTTTGTAAAAGGCATTTTCATGAGATTTTGTTTTTTCTGCAACTTCCTATTTCCTTCTTATACAGATGGATCTAAGAAACTTGAAGTTTTTTGTTTTTGTTTTTTTGGTTTTGTGTGTGTGTGTGTGTGTGTGTTTAGTTTGAAGTCATTGAAATAGAAGGCATCTAGTTTTTTTAATTAATTAATTTATTTATTTATGTTTTGATTGGTCATGGAGCCTGAACTCTGGGCCTGGGAGCTGTCCCTCAGCTCTTCAGCTAAAGGCTAACACTCGACCACTTGAGCCACAGCACCACTTCTGGCTTTTTCTGCTTATGTGGTGCTGAGGAATTGAACTCAGGGCCTCATGCATGCAAGGCAAGCACTCTACCACTGAGCCACCTTCCCAGCCCAAGGTATCTAGTTTTAATATCTGTTTTTTTATTTTAAAATTTTTTCCAGGATCCCATTGTTTTGGTTGTTTCATTTTTGTTTTCTAATAAACTCAAAGTCAATAAGTAATATTACTCTTTTTTTCCCTTGGTGCTGGTCCTGAGGCTTGAATTCAGAGCCTGGGCACTGTCTCTGAGCTTTTTTGCTCAAGTCTACAGTTCCTTTTCTACTTTTTTTTTTTGGTAGCTAATTGGCCATAAGAAAAGTCTCACAGACTTTCCTGCTCAGGCTGGCTTTGAACCTCAGTCCTCAGATCTCAGCCTCCAGAGTAGCTAGGATTAGAGGCATAAACCATCTATGCCTGGCATAATATTACTCTTTTTAATGTATTATATAAAATAGTATTTTATGTCATTTTTATACATGCTCATAACATGCTTTGATCATATTCACCCCATTTCTCTCTTTTGTTCCTATCCCCCCCTCCTACTAAACACATTCTTATTCCCAAATAGCCACCCTTCAAATTTCATGTCATTTTAAATCTAGACTTTGTATGTGTAAAGAAATTTACAATATTTGTCTTTCTAAGTCTAACTCATTTTACTTACTAGTGGTTTTCCATCCATTTTCCTGCAAATGACAGTTTTATTCTTTATGGCTGAATAAAATTCCATTGTGTATGTATAACCACATTTTTTTTTTTTCACTTGGGGCTTGAAGTCAGGGCCCAGGCACTGTTCCTGACCTTCTTTTGCTCAAGGCTAGCACTCTACCACTTAAGCCATAGCACCACTTCTAACTTTTTCTGTTTATGTGGTACTGAGGAGTCAAACCCAGGGCTTCATGCATGCTAGGCAAGCACTCTACCACTAAGCCACATACCTAGCCCACTACCTATTCTTTAATCTGCTTGCCCATTGATGTCCCAAGACTGATTCTGTAACTCAGCTATTGTGAAGAGTGCTGCAATAAATATGGCTGTTCAGATAGCTATACTTTATATACTTACATTCCTTCAGACATATGTAGAGGAATGCACATATGTATATATATAGTAGTCTTATTTTTAGTTTACTGAAATCCTCCAAGCTGATTTCTAGAGTGGCTATACTAGTTTACATTCCCACCAACCATTCCTTTCTCCCTATGTGCTTACCAGCATATGTTGTTTGTTTTCGTGATGATAGTTGTTCTGACTGAGATGAAATCTCAATGTCATTTTCATTAGCATTTTCTTTATGGCTAATGATGTTGGGCATTATTTCATGTATTTACTGGTTATTTGAACTTCATTTGAGACCTGTCCATTCAACATTCTAGGCTCTTCTCACCTCCCTTCTGGATACCTCAAAAAATAAATATTGTGAAATGATGGCCAAAAACATTTCAATATTTTTAAAAAAACCACTTTAGAGTCAAAAGATTGGATGAAAAGCAAGGAGGGTGAATAAATGAATGGGAAAGAGAACCATTTAGTAGTCCCTAATTTTAAGAGCTATTTATTACCTACTAGGGGGCTTAAGAAATAAACATGTTCGTGTTCGCTTCGGCAACACATATACTAAAATTGGAACGATACAGAGAAGATTAGCATGGCCCCTGCGCAAGGATGACACGCAAATTCGTGAAGCGTTCCATATTTTTATGGAAAAACTTGGAAAAAATTATATTAAGTGAAGTAAGCCAGGCCCAAAGAAACGTAGGTCCCATGGTTTCCCTTATTTGTAATATCTAGTATATGTATGAGTCAAGCGGAAAAGGTCAGATAATGTGATGTCAGGAAAATGAACCCTTAGATGTGTATTTTAATGTTTTTTTCTTTCATGCATGTGTTTCTAACACATTTATAAGATTATCTCTTTGTTGCTTTGTATGTCCCTCCCCCACAGTATAACCCTTGCTTTCACTATATTTGATGTCAGTATAACTTGTGGAGGAGATGGGGAAAAACCAGTTGTTTAAGGATACAGGTGGACCTGTTGCAACAATGAGAAGTACAAGTTGTCATGTCCAAAACGAACTTTACAACGTTGGTGCGGGGGGGGGGGGGGGGGGGCCCGCTGGGGGGGGGGAGGAAGGAGAAGGATTGGGATTAGGGGGGGAGGGGGGAGGCTGGGAAGGGATGTGAAGGGTAAACAAAGGAGGAGGCTGCAATGCTTGGTAAGAAATGTACACATTATCCTGCCCATGTAACTGTAACTCCTCTGTAAGTATGTTCACAAATAAAATTAAATTAAATTAAAAAAAAAAAAAAAGAAATAAACATGTTCAGGGTGTGGGAGTTTCTGCCTCCCATGGCTAGATCAAGATGGCATATCTCAGCTGGAAAATGGGAAGAAGGGGGGTTGCTCCACCCAAGTCAGTGATATTACATCAACCAAATCTTACCATCCTGAACTTTCCTCGTGCATTTGCCTGGAGCCACAGGGTGTTTCCTGCTCAACCTGTGTCTCCTCTAAGTCACCTCAGCCCCTCAAAATGCTGGGCCTTTCCCAGAAGTAAATTCTTGCCAGAAGGTATAAAAGATCAGCTGCTGTGCGCAGAGCAATGGCCCTGGCTACCACAGGAGGCTGAGACCCATGGCAGGTAAGGTTCAGTAGTGTTACTCATTCCTGGCTTTTACAAAGTTAATGATGTGATTTCCCTAAAGCCTTCTCTGAGCACTTAGTTCTGGGTTTAAGCATGTCTTCTTGGTACATTATCTGATGCCAGATTTGGCCAACGCAAGTCAGATCATCCCTGTGTGGAGGAAGACAGAATGGGTCTACACCCACTGTAGGGCAAGAAGGCTTTTCTGCTTCTGAAAACAAAGACATAGAATCATAAACTTGGGGCCAGAAATGTCTCTTACACATTCTGTTCAGGAACTGAGTTCTTAAGATAGGTGTCTAGGGTCACTTAAAAAGTTGGAGGGAGCTGGGAATAGGGCTTAGTGGTAAAATCCTTACCTAGCATGCATGAAGCCCTGGATTTGAGTCCTCAGTACTACTACATAAACAGAAAAAGCCAGAAGTGGGCTGTGGCTCAAGTGGTAGAGTACTAGCCTTAAGCAAAAGAAGCTCAGGGACAGTGCCCAAGCCCTGAGTTCAAGCCCCAGGACTGGCCAAAAAAAAAAAAAATTGTAGGTAAATAGTTCTTAAGACTGGTGTCATGTAATACAACCTCTCCTCTATAGTAGAGCTTCTGTGGTGTTTTTCTAGAGCTCCCTAAGCCAGAACTCTCAGATCTCCATCTCATTTCCGGAATCTCATGCCAGCTATCTGAAGCATATCTGAACATCTAGTTTAGCCCTGAATATCTGTCCCTGTTGTCTTAAGTGTCCTCTGGCTACCTGACTCTCATCCAAGTGTATGAACTGGATGGTCTTTCTTTCTTTTGAGAGAATGAGGTAGTTGAATCATATTTGGGGGGGGGGGGGTGGAAGGTGTCAGTGGTGGGCTTGAACTCAGGGCCTGAGCATTGTCCCTGAGCATTATTTTGTTCAAGGCAAGCACTCTAATACTCAGAGCCACAGGCTCCACTACTGTTTTTGGGGGTAGTTAATTGGAGATAAGAGTCTCATGGACTTTCCTGCACAGGCTGGCTTTGAATTGTGATCCTCAGATCTCAGCCTTCTGAGTAGCTATGATTACAGATATGAGCTACCAGTGCCTGGCCTGAATCATGTTGGGTTTTTTTGGTTTTGTTTCGTTTTACTCTCAGGTGCATTCAATAAGTATAGAACACTTCACCTTCGTAGAAGATTGTTTCTGCTGTGAAAGGCTTGATAAGAGCCATTAAGGATATAAAAGGGAAACAAACACAAACCCAAATTCCATTTTCCCTACTACCTGCTCACAAAATGCTTCCAATACCAGGTTTATGGGTTCCCCACTCACCCAACAAGCACAGCTACAGGTAGATGCCCCCTGTGTGCCCTTTAATTGGGTGCTGACACTCTGTGGAGACAGCTTCAGATCCCACGGGTTGAAAGTTCAGTCCCTAAGACTGAACCTTCTACATTGCGGCTGCCAATCACAAGCTCTAAGTTGCTTTATCCTGTGCTTCTGATCAACCGGCTATCAATTAGAGTACCCACACCCTCCTTCCTCAAGTCTGATTCATTTACTAGAGTTGCTCAAAGAAACATTGGTATTTATGAGTTTATTATGAAGGATAGTATAAAGGATACAGAACAGAGGTGCAGAGGGCAAGTATGAGGGAAGGAACAATGGAGTTCCTCTGCCTCTCTGGACACACCATCCTCCAGAAGCTTCCTGTGTTCAGCCACTTAGAAGTTCTCTAATATTATCCTTTGTGCTTTTATAGAGATTTTATTAAGTATGATTGCAGCCTAGACAACCATGAAATTCTAATGCTAGCAGACTGGGTGGGGACACCCAAAAAGGCATGTGTTCACAATATACAAGGACACGTGCACCTCCATGTTTATTGCAGCACTGTTCGCAATAGCTAGGATATGGAAACAACCTAGATGCCCCACCACAGATGAATGGATCTAAAAATTGTGGTATCTATACACAATGGAATATTATGCAGCCATTAGAAATGACAAAATAATGGCATTTGCAGGGAAATGGATGGAGCTAGAAGGAATCATGTTGAGCGAGGTAAGCCAAGAACGAAGAGACAAACAGTACATGGTCTCCCTGATAAGTGGATGCTAAATCCAAAATGTTAGGTGATACGACAAAACTAACAGGACTTAAGAAACAAAGAACTCCCGCTCATCTGGTTGAACCACTACTAAATATCCCCATGCTGCTGATCACAAATATGGTATATAACATGTGAACACTGTTATATATTACAGACTGTGGTAGACAATTTGCTCCAGGGAAGTTAAAATGAACTTGTGACTTTGAAATTATGTAATCACTTAATCACAATCAAAAAAAAAAAAAAGAACCTCGGGGAAGGGAGGGAGGGAGGGGATGGTAGGGGGAAAACAATGGAGAGGGTAACAATGTTCAAGAGGAAGTGTACTCATTACCTCACTCATGTAACTGTAACCCTCTGTATAGTATCTTTACAATAAAAAAAAAAAAGTAAAAAAAAAAAAAAAAAAGGCATGTGTTCAGATTCTTCCTGGCCTTTCTATGAACCATTTCTTGCTCTCTCCTGGATATGGAGCAGGATTCCTTCTGAATGGGAACATTGTGATCTACCATCAAACAAGGTCATTTTGGGAGTTTCATTATGCCCAGCTCCAGCACAGAAAGATAGGGAATGATAAGACTTTCTATGACTTTCTTTTGGAAAGATAACTTCTGTTTTTATGGCTTAACCTAGGGAGGAACTTTTGAGCCAAGAATCATGGAATCATGGATGAAAACCACATATATGGAGTGGGAATGGGGCTTAGTGGTAGAAGGCTTGCCTAACATGCAAAAGGCCAGAAGTGGCGCTGTAGTTCAAGTGGTACAATACTAGCCTTGAGTAAAAACAAGCTTAGGGACAGTGCCCAGGCTCTGAGTTCAAGCCCCAGGACTGGCTATATATGTGTGTGTGTGTGTGTGTGTGTGCTATATGTATATAATTTTATATACATATATTTTCCATATACACATATTTCTATATGCAAGTATTTTTTGTCTTTCCTATTGACTCATGCCACCATTCTTAACAGCTCTCACCATTCATGGAAAAGAATTCCGCTGTTCCTTCCCTTCTCAGTCTTTCTCCCGGTCTCTTTGATGACTGCTCAGCATGTCTAAAAGCCACATTGGTAGAAGGTGTGGTAGACAGAGAGTGGTCTTCAGACTAGACACATCACTTGTTACAGGTTCTCAGGCCCTTAACCTTCTACTCTGAATTTATCAAGATCCCCAAGTGATTCTTAGATATGCTATAGTGTGAAAAGTCACCTACGAGGCTACAAGTACTCCCTCTTGTACAATCTCCAAATGCTACAGTTCTCTGCTCTGTCATTCACTTAGCATGTGCTCTAGCATTCTATGTCTTAAGGGAGCTCCACACTTTGCTAAAAACCAAAGGGCTCAGGAATGCTTTGGCATCAACCATGAGACTAAGAATATGGTAGACATCCAAATACCACAGAAGCTTGTGGCTGACCTCTCTCTTCCCCCCCCCCCAAGCCCTATTTTCCCTATTGCCAGAGGCAATATGTTTCCAGGATCTTCTGCACACCCATTTTTCAGTGCCTTGACTCTACATTTGCTTGCCTCTGCTTTCTATTCCACACCTTTCCCTTCACACCAATCAAGAATCTTACCATGAAATGCAAACTAATTTAGCTTTGAATTTGAATTCCTTCTCCTCCCTTCCAAGTGAGGAGAGAATATCTGAAGGAAAGGAGTGGAAAAATAAGTAGCTAAGCTTTGTTTCCTGTCACCACCCTATCTTGGTGGTTCACAGCACTTGTAATCACAGAACATGGAAGGCTGAGGCAGGAAGATCAAAAGTTCAAGGCAAGCTTGGGCCACCCAGTGATACCCTAAACCCCTGGACAAGGCCCAAAGGGAGTAGAAAATATAGAATTGCTGTTCAGTGAATAGAAGGTTTCTGTTTTGCAAAGTGAAACAAGCCTAGAGACCTTTTACTCAAAAATGTGAATACATTTGCTATACTGTAGAAAATAATGATTAAGATGATAAATTTTACACTGTATGTCTTTTGTTTGTTTGTTTTGGCCAGTCCTGGGGCTTGAAGTCTGGGCCTGGCCACTGTCCCTAAGCTTCTTTTGCTCAAGGCTAGCACTTTACCACTTGAGCCACAGCACCACTTCCACTTTTCTGAGTAGTTTATTGAGGATGAGTCTCATGAACTTTCCTGCCCAGGCTGGCTTCAAAACATGATCCTCAGATCTCAACTTCCTGAGTAGCTAGGATTATAAGTGTGAGCCACCAGTGAGTGACCTGTATGTTTTGTTTTGTTTTATCACATGTGAAAAGGAAAAAAAAATCTTTAATGATCTTTTACTCACAAATCTCTGCCTGAAAAAGCAGATTTCTGCTGATTCAGTGAATCTTATCATGGTCCTCTGGTATTCACAAAGAAAGGGTAACAGTGTCTGGGTATGGGGATGTGCCTAAAATTGACAGAAAGAAGGAGATGGAAGGAAGGAAGGAAGGAAGGGAGGGAGGGAGGGAGGGAGGGAGGGAAAAAAAGAATAATAGTGGGATGGAAAGTCCCAGAATTTTTTCCTACTGGGGCCATATAGATCTAAATACAAAAGCCCGCTGAAGAGTTGAGCTATTTGATCAGTTATGTTGGGGGAAAAAGTCTTGACCAGAAATGTGTTTCCATTGTAACTCAGTGGTAGATGCTTGCCTGGTTTGTGCAAAGCCTTGGCCTGGGTTTGAGCCCTATTAGAGAAAAAAATTAGGGGGAAATATAAAAGGGAAGATGGGGAATGGAGTCAAAAGCTGAATTCCTTGAACCGTGGTACACAAATGAGGTTATTTGGAGAGTGTCTGGGAGGTGGGCTGTGCCATCTCTCAGGCAAAGCTAGGGTGTGTTTTCTCTCAGGGAGCTTTGGGCAGGTATGAAGGGTCAGCTAATTTGAGGTTGTTCATCCTGGGAGTGCCTGGAGTCCACTCAGGAATACTATGCTGAAGGGAAAAACATAACATCATGAAGTCTTGGGAGCCAGTCAAGAGCCTGGTCTAAGCTAGGCACTGGTGTCGTACATTTACAATCCTAGCTACTCACGATGTTGAAATATGAGGGTCTCAGTCCAAAGCTAGTCTGGGCAAGAAAGTCCATGAGAATCCTAGCTCCAACTAACTACCAAAAAATTGGAAATGGAACTATGGCTCAAGTGGTAGAGCACTAGCCTTGAGCAAAAGAAGCTCAAGGACAGTGTTTAGGCCCTGAGTTCAAATCCCAGTACCAGTACATACACAAAATTAAGAAGGCTGGAAATGTGGCTTAGTGGTAGAGTGCTTGCCTAGCATGCATGAAGCCCTGGGTTTGATTCCTCAGTGCCACATCAACAGAAAAAGCTGGAAGTGGCACTGTGGCTCAAGTGATAGAGTGCTAACCTTGAGCAAAAGAAGTTCAGGGACAGTGCCCAAACCCTGAGTTCAAACCCCAGGACTGGTGGAAAAAGAAATTAGAGTCTGGTCTAAAGAAGCAATTATTCCAACTATATATATGAGCACCTTTCTAGACAAGAGCCATAATCTCTTCAAAAGCTATTTGGCATCTACCTCACCAAGCCCAAGGAGGCCCCTTGCCAAAAGATAAAGCTGCTCAAATTGGTTCCGAGTTAAAGTTCATGATGAAGAGGTAGATTAACCTAGGAGCCGGAACCTCTTTGGGTGTCCTGAGACACCACTATGGTATTAGAGGAGTTTTTGAACTTGTCACAACTTTCTTGTATGTGTTGATAGGGAAACCCCCTGTGGGGTTTTACAGGAAAGATGGGGCCTCTGCCTCCTCTGCGGACAGAGGAGACAGACAGGAAAGATAATTTCCTAGGAAAAAAGGAGGGTAACACCAATGGGTGGGTAACAGCACTTTTCAACCCTATGACAAAACCAACACATGATTTCAGGATCACAGGGTGTCAGGGCAGACTGGAAGATCCTGCCTCACTTGACCCTACCCCCTCGCTAAGTAACCTGTCCAAGAGTGCAGAGCTGGGTAGAGTGACAACTCAGGGCCTCAGACCCTGAAGCTAGTGTTCCTTCCCTTCCACTTTGCCTCTTTCCATCTCTCCCTGTGCATGTAGTAGGCTTCCCTGTTCCTGTGGTAGGGCATTTGGTGGTCCCTACTTTCTGAGAGTCAGTCCATCCCACAGGCGCTCCATTGAGGCTTATGACATAATTCTGGGTCTCTCTCACAGGGATGAGGATCCTTCTCCATCTCCCAGCCCTCCTGGCTTTTCTGTTCTCGCTCCAGGCTAAAAGGCCTGCTAAAAATGGTAAGTGTCACACTGAATTGGTTTCCCATAGCTTTCACCACAAAGCACCTTGAACTGGGTGCATGAAGACAATGGAAATTTATTCTCTCACAGTCTAGGAGACTTGAAGTCCAAAATCAAGGTGATAGCAAGACCCTATATCCTCTAAAGGCTGAAGAGGAGGAGCCTACCTTGCCTAGTCCAGCTTCTGGTGGCTCCAAAGCATTCATGGAGTTCTTGGTTCATAGCTACAGCATGCTAATTTCTGTTCCAGTCCTCACATGCCTCCTAGTGTGTCCTCTCCCTCTCTTTAAAATCCACTGGGTATCACAGCTCATACCAGTAATTCTAGCAACTCAGGAGACTGAGATCTGAGGATCATAGTTCAAAACCAGCCGAGATAGGAAAGGAAAGGCTGTGAGACTCATCTCCAATTAACTACCAAAAAGCTGTAAGTGAAACTGTGGCTCAAGTGGGAAAGCAATAGCCGTGAGCACAAAAGCTCACATATAGTGCCCAGGCCATGAGTTCAAGCCCCAGGAGCATGGGGTGCATGCGTGTGCACGCACACACACGCACGCATGCACGCACGCACGAGTCAGACGCGATGGCTCATGCCTGTAGTCCTAATCAGGAGGCTGAGATCATCTGAGAATTGAGGTTCAAAGCCATCCCAGGCACAATAGTCCATGGGGCTCTTATGGCCAATAAACCACCTAAAAAACAGAAATAGAGCTGTGGCTCAAAGTGATAGAGTGCTAGCCTTCAGCCAAAAAACTCAGCCCTGAGTTCAACTCATGAAAACAAAAACCCACTAATCATTGGACTAAGGGTCCTCATCCAGTATGATCTCCTCTGAATCAATAATATCTGCAAAGACTATTTATAAATAAGATTATATTCTGAGGATCCAAGAGCAAATGAATTTTCACTAGACAATTTTCTTTGTGAGTGAAAACAAGGAAACCCGCCACTGGCTTTATATCTTCGCTTCCCTAGTTCATGTCCTGGCAATCAGTAAATTGATGGACTTGCTTAACTTTCCACAGAATTTGTCCCACCAGGATCCAAAGAAATGCCAACCAACCTGATTGGTTCAGTAGTCCTACCCCTGGGTGTTCCAATACATTCCTGAAGGAGGTCTTGATCTTTTGTTGAAGATTAAAAAAATAGTCTTCCCATTCTTTTTCCCTTAAGGGAAAATTTTGTAATCTTAATTTCCTACCTGCTCAGATTTCTTCTGTCTGTTGTGGGACTTGAACTCTGGGCCTGGGCACTGTCCCTCAGCTCTTCAGCTCAAGGCTAGCACTCTCCCACTTGAGCCACAGCACCACATCTGGTTTTCTGGTGGTTAATTGGAGATAAGAGTCTCATGGACGTTACTGCTGGGGCTGGCTTTGAACCATGATCTTCAGATCTCAGCCTCTTGAGTAGCTAGGATTACAAGCATGAGCCACCGGTGCCCTGCAAGCCTGCTCAGATTTGAAAGCTGTGGGATAATGGCTGAGAAAGAGGGAGACAAAAGCTAGGCACCGGTGGCTGGTGCCTGTAATCCTAGCTACTCAGAAGGCTGAGATCAGAGGATCACAGTTCAAAGCCAGCCCTAGCAGGAAAGTCTGTGAGACTCTTATCTCCCATAAACTACCCCCCAAAAATACTGGGAGCAGAGGGATGGCTCAAGAGGTAGAGCACTAGACTTGAGCAAAAGAAGCTCAGGGCCTGAGTTCAAGCCCCAGGACTGACACAGATGAAAAAAAATGGAGACAGAAAGAAAGGATACCTCCAAGGAGTGGTGTCTGATTTTCTGCTTCCTGCTTCTCCCCATCCCCAAGCACAGATCACTAGAATTTCAACCATCTCGGCTACTGTGAGTCAGGTCAAGGTCCAAGTCAACAAGGCCTACCTGGAATCCCGAACCAGGTAAGAAAGATACATACACATATATGTATACACTTCCTGTCACACATTTCCTGTTAACTAGCCCATCTAGGCCAGCCCTGCCAAACCAGTGAGCCCAAGCAATTATAAAACCTGCCCTTCTACCTGGTTCATACCTCTAAGGATGTGACAAGCAGCATCAATAGCTGCCAACTCCCCACATTCTCAGCCTCCAAGATGCCCTGAAGGGACATCGAATCCCAAAAGGCCTTTGCTGCTTGTGACCCAGTGTTTCCTTGGATCCTGAGTGTCCCCCCCCTCAGAAGGGTACAAATTCTTTATTCACCCAACTCATATTTTCACTTACTCCACTCTGGCTCTCTAGAAGCAGAATCCTAGGTTTGCTCAGGACAGGTGATTTATCAGGGTTGTGCTGTCAAGGGACAATGCTGTGGAATGCAGGAAAAAAAACAGAAATAAAAGGAAGGAATTAAGTGAGGATATGGTTTATGGTCCAGCCCTAGCTTTACCCTCTGGGAGACCTGCTCTTGAATACCTCTAGTCAGGCAGCTCTATTGGCTGGCCCAGAAGCCAGTGGCCAACAGTTACAGCTGTGAGCCTTTAGCAGCTGCTCCCATCACAGCTAGGGGAGGAGCACACAAACCCTCAAAAGGAATCCAAGGGAAGCCAGTTGCCAGTGGCTCACGCCTGTAATCCTAGCTACTCAGGAGGCTGAGATCTGAGAATCACGGTTTAAAGCCAGCCCCAGCAGGAAAGTCTGTGAGACTCTTATCTCCAATTAAATCACCAGAAAACTGGAAGTGGTGCTGTGGCTCAAGTGGTAGAGCGCTCGCCTTGAGCTGAAGTGCCCAGGACTTGAGTTCAAGCCCCAGGACTGATCACGAAAAAAAAAAAATATTCAAGGGAGGCCCACCAGCAAAGTCAGCCACCCGCCACCCAGGGGCTGGGACTGGTGAGCAAAGCAATCCAGACCGGATTGCTGCCATCAGGAAGTGCATGTGCTATACCAAAAGGACTAATGAGAAATAAGAGGAACCCTAGCAGTGAGCTTATTCATTGCTCTTGTTCTGTCCCTGACACTAGAGTTGTAGCATCCTTCCTCCTTGCCTCTGAATGAATCCTCAGACACTTAGCTGATTCTTTTGGCAACTGTTTATTTATTTAGTGCTGGTACTGAGCCTGAACCTCCAGGCCTGGGTGCTCTTCCAGAGCTCTTTTGCTCTAGGCTAGTGCTCTATCACTGGAGCCACCGCTCCACTTCCAGCATTTTATTTATGCGTTTGTTTGTGTTTGTATGTGGTTAATTGGACATAACAGTCTCACATACTTTTTCTTGCCCATGCTGGCTTTGAACCCTGATCCTCAGATCTCAGCCTCCTGAGTATCTGGGATTACAGGCACGAGCCACTGGCACCAGACTCTTTTGGTAACTTTTAAATGATAAAATGTGCTCTGGTCATTTCTAGTCCCCAAGACTAGAATTCCATTTCAGGAACTAAAAGGTCAGCATAAGAAGACACAGACAGCCCCAGACTGCTTTTTTCCCTTGACTCAGAGTGACCTTGGGGGTCTGTGGTGAGAGTGGGGAGTCCAGGGGGCTTCTCCCTCACTCCTGACCTGTCCCCCTCCCTCACTTCCCCCTGGGGGCTGAGGGATGGACTACGGCATGACCAACATTTCTGGACAAGTCGGTGTCTCAAGGGAGAGCCCGAAATTCCTTCTCTACTTGGATACTTTTCTGGTCTTCTCACCATTCTGCTGCCAGATCCAAGATCTGGAAAATTCTTACCCAGTGCTGACAACTCCAACACCTGAAGCACCCAGCTTTTTTTTTTTCTACCCCTTCGGCCCCTCTCTGGGCGAACTGGGCCATGCTGTCTCTTTTGCAACAGAAGCAAAATGGCAATATGGCTTTTCTCTTGAGCTCTTTTTAGAGAAGTTGGGGCAGCCCTAGAGATAAAAGTTAATAAGCAGGGTCCTTCCTGTTGTCTCCTTACTTACCCAAGTGGTGTCTCAAGCTGAGACCCAGCACCCCCCGCTCTTCAGACAGAACTAGTGGCCTGTCACCCAGAGACAGACCTGTCTCTACAGTTAATGAATATACTCAAAAAGAGGTCTTTCTGCCAGCCACCAGGCACCAGTGGCTCATGCCTGTGATCCTAGCTACTCAGGAATCTGAGATCTGAGGATCAGGGTTTGACATCAACCCAGGGAAGGAAGGTTGGTGAGATTCTTATCTCCAATGAACCACCAGAAAACCAGAAGTAGAGCTCGCAGAGCACTAGCTTTGAGTACAAAAGCTCAGAAACAGTACCCAGGCCCTGAGTTCAAGCCCTAGGATGAGCACACAAACAAGTAAGCAAACAAACAAATAATAAGTCCAATAAATGAGAGCTTTCTTTTGTGAGACTCTGGGCCCTTTCTAACATCTCAGCGTCTTGGAGAGATAGGGATCACCCCAGTGAAACTGAGGCACAGTGAAGAACTTCAAGGAGGAACATCTCTGAGACCATCTTGCCCTCCACCATCTGTGTTGTCACAAGCTCCGCAGGGGAAGGCTTTATCGTTTCTCATTTTACACATGGAAATTAAGAAATAATAAGGCCTGAGTGTCTTGCACATGGTATTCAGCAAAAGATTGGATGCTTTGGGCGGCAAACACCACAGGAGCTCTAGGGCCAGACACAATTTGGGCTGTTTTTATGGGCAGAACTAGAGGTCCATAAGCATCTTCTTTCTAGAATTCTCAGTCCATAAGCTTGGTGACAAGCCAGTTATATACCAAAGGCTCCTCACATGTGAATCAATCTGTTGTTAGGGCCTTGTGGTTTTTGAGCTCCAGTTCTGACCCACTCAGCTTAGGTATAGCCCTCTGGTTGGAATTCAGGAACCACTTGATCCAGCTTCCCTTGGAATCAGTTCTTCCCCTTAGGACCAAAACTATTGAAGCTTAACAAGCCACTGTGGCTTCCTCTTTTCAGAAGAGATTTTTCCAGCAGTGTTAGAAAAGAAATGAACACAAAGTTTGTCTCCTCTGAGCCACCCCCCCCCCACCCCCCTCCACCCCCAGGGCTCTTCCCTGGACACCGATCACTTCACATCCCTGCAGAGGACCACTAACTCCCTGCTATCAGGCCAGCTCATGATCTTCAATGCTCTCCAATGTAGGCTGAAGACCGCCATGAACTCCCAGGCTCTCACCACCCGACAGCTCTCAGAGTATCTCAAGCATGCCAAAGGCCGGACACGCACAGCCATACGTAATGGGCAGATGTGGGAGGAATCCTTCAAGAAGCTGCAGCAGAAGATTTTCTCGGCCAATGTCACAGGTACATTCAACTCACAGGAAGGGTTCATCTCCCTGCAGAAAAGATCGGAGGCAAGCCAGGTACTGGTGGTTCATGCCTGTAGTCTTAGCTATGCAAGAGGATAAGGTCTGAGGATTGAGGTTCAAAGCCAAACAAGGCAGAAAAGTTCAGGAGACACATATCTCCAGTTAACCAGCAAAAAGTTGGAAGTGGCTCAGGTGGTTTAGTGCCAGACTTGAGAAAAAAAAAAAAAAAAGAGCCAAGTGAAATTGGGCATTGATGACTTATACCTATAATCCTAGCTACTCAGGAGGCTGAGATCCGAGAATTGTAGTTTGAAGCCAACCCAGGTAGGAAAGTCTGTGAGACTCTTATCTCCACTAAACTACAAAAAAAAAAAAAAAAGCTGGAAGTGGAGAAGTGGCTCAAGTGGTATAGCTTTAGCCTTGAGCAAAAGAAGTTCAAGGACAGTGCCCAGGTCCTGAGTTCAAGCCCCAGGATTGGCACCAAAACAAAAACCAAAAAGGCAAGTGAGAGCATGAGGCCCTACACAGTACCGACACAAAATATGAGGGGAGGGGGGGAGAAGAGGAGGAGGAGGAAAAGGGAAGGACAGGGAAAAGAAAGGGAGGGGAGGGGAAGGGAGGGGAGGGGAGGTCAGAGGCCATCCAAAGCTGTGATCACTGTCCCGGGCTGTCAGCTCGGAAAGGCCCTCCTATCTCTCCCATCCTAGGCTCGTAGGCCAAACCAGCAGAACCAGGAGCACCTTAGGGGACAGTTAGGCCAGTGCCCTTTTAGCAAATGAAGGAACTCAGCCCTAAGGAAGGTCACAGTGGGGACAAGGGTGTTCTTTGCATAAATAACTTGGGTAAGGTACTGGAGGAAGTACCAAAGTCAGTAAACATGGACTGGCTGTCCCACACCACAGAGTCATCCCTTCTCTGAGTGACTGCAACAGGGAAGCCACCCGTGTCAGGTGGATTTACTGGGATTATTTCACCAGCGATTGGGATTCCTGTTTTGTTCTGGCTTAAGACCCATCTGACCTCATCTTAAGTTTTTTCTGCCTCCTGCCAGGGCCTTAGAAAGGGCTGAAAAGGGGGTGGGGGGTGGGGGAGGGAAGGATGGGAAGGGGAAACAAAGGAGGAGGCTACAATGCTTGCTAAGAAATGTACTCATTATCTTGCCCATGTAATTGTAACCCCTCTGTACAGTATGTTCACAATAAAAAAGAAAAAAAAAAAGAAAAGGCTGAGAACTCTGAGCCTCTTTGGGGTTGGGGGTGTCTCTTCTGTTTTAGAGCCCAGCCTGGACCTGACATCGCTGTCCTGGGAGGTGGGCTGTGATGTCCCGGCTCCAGTAGTGACCTGTGACACCAGCAGCCCTTACCGCACCATTACTGGAGAATGTAATAACAGGTGATTTGGGCAGGGTGGGGTGACACCTACCCAGCCCCACCCAGCCATTCCAGGAAGACCTGCCACCCACCGCTTCACCCTCCTGGACCCTTTAAAGGAGACTCCTGTACCTAATGGAGCCCCCCCCTCTTCACCAGGGCCTGGGTGGGGTGGGGGAACAAGGGGCTCAGATCTCCATATTTGAGAGGCCGCTGCCGCCGGCCTCCTTACTCTGGGTCAGGGCCCTGGCCCCCCCCCCCCGAAACCCGGAGACCAGCGGCGGGGGCTGAGGGGGGTCTCCCCGGCTTTCAGGAGGGACCCCACGCGGGGAGCCGCCAACCGGGCGCTGGCTCGCTGGCTGCCGGCCGAGTACGAGGACGGGCTCTCCCTCCCCTTCGGGTGGACGCCGGGCAAGATGCGGAACGGCTTCCCGCTCCCGCTGGTGAGGGCGGACGGGGTGAAGGAGGGGAGGTGGAGGGGAGGAGATCCGCGAACCCCCAATACCCGCTCCCCACAAGGGCTAGGGGGAGGCGGGGACGCAGCCCTGCGGGAGAAGGGCGATTCGGACTTGTGTTGTTCCTCCAAAACGCCACCAGAGGGCAGCAGAGCCCGGGGCCGAGCCACGCGGTGCTCGCTGGCTGGCGCGTTCTCTGTCTCTCTGTCTCTCTGTCTCTCTCCCCCTCTCCTTCTTCCTCCCCCCTCCCCCTTCTTCTCTCCCCCTTCCCTCCCTCCCCTCTACAGGCCAGATACCCTGGGGTCTCCCAAGCAGATGGCCTCCCTGCCCCATCCTGCTCCCCTTCACTCTGGGTCAGCCCCTGGAGTGCTTCAGCTGTCGTTTGCCTCATCTGAGTTGGCAGTCCCTCCCCAAAGCCCCCTCCCCTGTCCACAGACACCTGGCATCGCCATGGCCAGGCCTCTCAGGAGCAGTAGTCTGGCTTTGTCTTCTCACCCTGCTTGGTAGTGGACAGGGCACTGACATTGCACATGAAATCATACAGACCCAGGTTCAAATCCATCTGTCTCCTACCTGCTACAAGAGTTAATGCCTTCTACCTCACAGACTCCTTGTTCGGGGACTAAATGCCTTGTAGCTGTTACAGCTGATGTACTAGTAAAGCGTAGTTGAATCTGCCCCTCAAAGTACATTTTCTTCCCCATCTGCCCTCCTCTTCTCTCTCCACCTGCAGGCCCGAGATGTATCCAACGAGATCGCTGCCTATCTGAATGAGAAGGATGTTCTGGACCCAAACTGGTCCCTGCTCTTCATGCAGTGGGGCCAAATTGTGGATCATGACTTGGATTTTGCCCCTGACACTGAGATGAGCAGTAGCAACTTCTCTAAGGCACAGTGTGATGAGTACTGTATCCAGGGAGACAACTGTTTCCCCATCATGGTAGGCCCCTGTAGCAACCCCTAACTACCCCAGGGGAGCAATCTTGGGTCTTGTGAGAGATGTGGGTGCTGACTTAATAGCTTGCCAAATCTCATATGGGCATTCATCCATTCACTCACCTACCAATCAGTGATTACACATTATATCCAATTGCCAGGCAATGCATAATACATTGGGTTTTCAAAGATGAGGAAGACATTGTTCCTGCTGTCAAAGACAGTGTGGTAAGTGAACAAGTGAGCCAGTGGCTCATGCCTGTAATCCTAGCTATTCAGGAGGCTGAGATCTGAGGATCTTGATTCGAATCCAGACCCAGCAAGAAAGTCCAGGAGACTCTTATTTTCAATTAGCCACCTCAAAAAAAAAAAAAAAAAGTCAGAAGACCAGAAATGGAGCTATAACTCAAGTGCCAGCCTTGAAAAAACAAACAAGAGACAGCACCTAGGTTCTTGAGTTCAAGCCTCTCTACTGGCACAAGGAATAATAATAATAATTGGGAAGCTTTGAGGAGGGGAATTTACATCTTCCACCAGAATCATCTATCATGTAGAAGTTTATCAGCAGTGCAAAAATCTCAAGCCTTCCCCAACACACTGGGAAATAGATTCTACATTTTACCAGGAGATTCATTCTACATTTAAAATTTGCGGAACTTTGGCCCTAAAGTCGTCTTGAATGATGACTTCATTTTCCAGGAGATGAAAGTTGATGATGGATGGGTGAATCAGTGAACATCAGGGATTTGGGGGAAGAGCCAGCAGGGAGAAGAATTTGCAGTGACAGATACCCTTTTTCTTTTCATGGGTTAAGACTGTCATTTATTTATACAAATAAGAAGTCAGGCCTAGCCAGGCTCTGGTGGCTCACGCCTGTAATCCTAGCTACTCAAGAGGCTGAGGTCTGAAGATCGTGGTTCTAAGCCAGCCCGGGGAAGGAAAGTCCATGAGACTCTTATCTCCAATAAACCACTCAGAAAACTAGAAGTGGCACTGTGACGTAAGAGGTAGAGTGCTAGCCTTGAGCTGAAGAGCTGAGGGACAGCCCAGGCCCAGAGTTCAAGACCCATGACCAACAACAACAAAAAAAGAAGTCAAGCCTAGAACTCGATGAGGGAGGCTCACGCCTATAATCCATAGTTACTCAAGAGGCTGAGATCTGAGGATCACAGTTCAAAGCCAGCCTGGGAAGGATAGTCTGTGAAACTCATCTCCAATAAACCACCAGAAAATTGGAAGTGGTGCTGTGGCTCAAGTGAGAGAGCACTTGCCTTGAGCTGAAGAGCTGAGGGACAGCACCCAGGCCCAGAGTCCAAGCTCCACACCTGACCAAAGACAAAGATGAAGAAGAAGACAAAGATGAAGAAGAAGAGAGGAGGAGGAGGAGGAGGAGAAGGAAGGAGGAGGAGGAGGAAGAAGGAGGAGGAGGAGGAGGAAGGAGGAGGAGGAGGAGGAAGGAGGAGGAGGAGGAGGAAGGAGGAGGAGGAGGAAGAAGGAGGAGGAGGAGGAGGAAGGAGGAGGAGGAGGAAGAAGGAGGAGGAGGAGGAGGAAGGAGGAGGAAGAGGAGGAAGGAGGAGGAAGAGGAGGAAGGAGGAGGAGGAGGAGGAGGAAGTCAAGCCTATGTGCTGAGGATAAAGAGCATGAGCTAGGGAATTTTCAGTCTGGATCTGAATCTCACATCTTTCCCTTCTAGTTTGTTAGTGCCTGGGAAACTGACACCCTACTGAGTCTGTTTTACTATATGTAAAATGGAATCAAATTGTCAACCTGATAGGTCTTAGAAGGATGGAAGTAAGATGAAGTATTCATATTGCCTGCATGTAGTAGGTCCAAATTAAATGAGGTGTCAATTTTTTTAATTTATTTTTTCCATTTTATCAGTACTGGGATTTGAACTCACTTAAGGCTTTCATTTAAGGCTGATGCTCAACCATTTGAGCCACAGCTCCACTTCTGGCCTTTTTTTTTTTTTTTTTGTAGCTAGTAGGAGTCTCCTATTAAAATTTTCCTGTCTGAGCTGGCTGAGACCCTTAGATCTCAGCCTCCTGAGTAGCTAGGATTATAGGTGTGAGCCACCAGCACCTGGCTTAGAGTGCCCTGCCCCCTTTTTTTTAGTAGCAATTGTTAACTTTTTCTCATCTTATGTGATACTTTCCTGTCCAGGAATGCCAGAGCACACTCCCCAACCAAAATTCAGAGAGCCTCACTGTGAAAGATTTTGGAAGTTTTTAACTATTACTTTATTGAATATATATATATATATTTCTAGGGATTGAACTCAGCACCTGGCACTGTCCTTGAGCCTCTTTGTGTTCAAGGCTAGTGCTCTACCACTTGAGCCACAGCTCCACTTCTAGCTTTTCCTGAGTAGTTTATTGGAGATAAGAATCTCACGGACTTTCCTGCCTGGGCTTGTCTTTGAATGGTGATCCTCAGGACACAGCCTCCTGAGTAGCTAGGATTACAGGGGTGAACCACCAGTGCCCGGCCATCTTCAATATCTTTGCATCCACTCTGTCTCTTGGGAAAGGTTATCTGAGCCCAGACGTCTGCCCCTGCAATCACCAAACACCCCCCTCCTAATCTCTCTGCAGTTCCCCTCCAGTGACCCCAAGGTGAAGACTCAAGGGAAGTGCATGCCTTTCTTCCGAGCTGGATTTGTCTGTCCCACTCCACCCTATCGGTCCCTGGCTCGAGAACAAATCAACGCTGTAACCTCCTTCTTGGATGCCAGCTTTGTTTATGGTCCCGAACCAAGCCTGGCCAACCGCCTGCGCAACCATAGCAGCCCTCTGGGCCTCATGGCTGTCAATCAAGAGTTCTCAGATGGGGAGCTGCCCTACCTGCCTTTTGTCACCCAGAGGCCCAGTCCCTGCGAGATCATCAACACCATGGCCCAGGTGCCGTGCTTTCTGGCAGGTGAGCCTAGGCTGGGAAGAGACAAAGGGATCATCAGGGAGGCTTCTCCACTGAGCCACCACTGTCTGTGGTGCATTGGAAAAAAATAAAAGAAAGACCCAATAAGCCTAGCACCAGTGGCTGATGCCTGTAATCTTAGCTATTCAGGAGGCTGAGATCTGAGGATTGTGGTTCAGAGCCAGCCTGGGCAGGAAAATCCGTGAGACTGTTATCTCCCATTCACCCCCAAAAAGATGGAAGAACAGCTGTGGCTCAAGAGGTAGAGACCAGGGCCTGAGTTCAAGCCACAGAACCATCACAAAGGAAAAAAGGCCCAATAACAAGAGAAGACATATTTACAGTAATATGAGATGAGGAAGGGCTGGGAATGTGGCTTAGTGGTAGAGTGCTTGCCTAGCATGCATGAAGCCCTGGGTTCAATTCCTCAGTACCACATACACAGGAAAAGCCAGAAGTGGTACTATGACTCAAGTGATAAAGTGCTAGCCTTAAGCAAAAGAAGCTCAGGGACAGTGCCCAGGCCCTGAGTTCAATCCCCAGGACTAGCAAAAAATAATCATAATAATAATAAGGAAGTCCAGAAACACACCAAGAAAATTCACAATCCTATTATTCCCCAATAATCACCATTAATATTTTTTTATTTTTTTTTTATTTTTTAGAGGGTCCGGTCATGGGGCCTGAACTCTGGGCCTGGATGCTGTCCCTCAGCTCTTCAGCTCAAGGCTAACACTCTACCACTTGAGCCACAGCACCACTTCTGGCTTTTTTCTTTTTGCTTATGTGGTGCTGAGGAATTGAACCCAGGGCCTCAGGCATGCAAGGCAAGCGCTCTACCACTGAGCCACCTTCCCAGCCCCTAGCATTAATATTTATTGGCAATCTTTCCCATACTTTTCCTAGCACAGGTATATTCCCTATTATTTTACACAGTTAACTACACACTATAAATAATGCTTTATAACCTGGTGTCTTCACTCCACATACTACATGCTAAGAGGGAAAGGGTACTCTAATAGAGGCAAGGTATTGTGTCGCATATATTACCATCATTTTTTTTCAACCCTTTTCAGAGTTATTCAGCTATCTTCTAGAGTTGTTGTGTTTTTCTGTTTTCTTGTTGCTTGGATAATCAACATCCTTGTGATGAATCTTTATTTTCATCTTTTTTAATTGTTGTTATTGCAGTACCAGGGATGTTGTCATTTATTAAGGTAATTTACTAGAAGAGGTTCTAGATAAAGAGTTTGTTATATACATGTGTGAACAAGTTTGTGTGTGTGTGTGTGTGTGTGTGTGTGTGTGTGTGTGTGTGTGTGTTAAGGCTTTTAAGTAACCTGGGCAAAAGCCACCATTTCTAAGAAACCTATGCACAACCAAAGCCTCCTGATTCTATTTATTCCAGGGGCACATGCCCTCTGGTTCTCTCTGTCTTTGGCTTCTGAAAGCCTTTTCTCCTCAAACAAACAAAAAAGACTTTCCAAGGACAAACTTCTGGTCACAAGGCAAGAGACCAGCCCTGAGCCAAGCTCCCTTGTGAGATCTCTTGAATTTTGTGTCCCCACACATACCCTATGCCAATCTAGACCTCAAATTAAGCCCCTTCCAGGTTTTCCTAAAAGCAGCTAGGAGCACCAAGCATTTGTGAATTGTATAAGCTTTCTTGAAGCTTAGAGGATGCCAGGAGACGTGAACTCCCCCCACCCAGCCCCCACCCCGGACATCTCATCTCCTCCATTCCTGTTCCTCTCTCCTTCCCTAGTAGGCCTCACCTCCAGATCCTTCTCTCGCCACTGCCCAGAAGAATTCACTCCCATCCAGGCTCTCCCCTCAAAGCTGCAATCCTGAAGCCTTCTTCTTGTTTGGTTTGGGTTTTCTTTCATTTGTTTGTACCAGTGCTGGGGCTTGAACTCAGGGCCTGCCCTTTACCAAATCCTTGTAGGCCCTAGAGCCCCACATTGCCAAATGAGGAGAGTAAATGTTAAGATCACATAGCTAAAAGCATGAATATAGAACAGAGAAGCAAAACTGTAGCTCCCGCCCTCCATCTGTGGGGGCACCTCTGTCTCTCGGTGGGCCTGAGGCTGCTCAGGAAAAACCCACTTTCCTGCCTTGTGGGCTTTCAGGAGATTCTCGTGCCTCGGAGCAGATCCTACTGGCTACTGCCCACACACTCTTTCTCCGTGAGCACAACCGGCTGGCCAGAGAACTGAAGAGACTCAACCCTCACTGGGAGGGAGACAAGCTCTACCAAGAAGCTCGGAAAATCCTGGGAGCCTTCATGCAGGTATGGAGGTGCAGGGTGCCTTCCCCTCACCCCCAGCCAGGCCACCTGGCTCACAGCCCTACTCACCTCCGGCCGCCTCCCCCATACCTTCCTCTCCTGTGCTGTCTCCCCCCCAGAGTCTCATTCTTACAAACACTCCCTCCTTTGGTTTCCTCAACTTCTCTGTCAAAAAAACCAATCCCTTAACAGGAGCCAGTGGCTCACACCTGCAATTCTAGCTACTCAGGGGGCTGTGATCTGAAGATCATGGTTCAAAGCCACCCTGGGTAGGAAAGTCTATGAGACTCTTATCTCTAATTCATCACAGAAAAAGGCAGAAGTGGAGCTGTGGCTCAAGTGATAGAGTGTTAGCCTTGAGAAAAAAAAAAAAAAAGCTCAGGACAGCATCCAGACCCTAAATTCAAGCTTCAGAACAGCCCCGCTCCCAATCAAGAAAAAAAAAGTTATCAAAAATTTCTAGGAAAATCTGTGTGCCCCTTTCCCAGCCTCCTCCAGGAAAGCCTCTCCCTGTGCCTTCTCTCACTATATGTGCAAGAGAAATACTTAACATCTTTCATAACTATATGGTAAAAGCAGGAAGTTTTTTTTAACCATAACTATATGGCTAAAAAATAAAACTGCCAGGCACAGGTGGCTAAGGCCTATAATCCTAGCTACTCAGGAGGCTGAGATCTGAGGATCATGGTTCAAAGCCAGCCCAGCAGGAAAGTCTATGAGACTCTTATTTCCAGGAAACTGGAAGTGGCGCTGTGGCTTAAGTGGTAGAGTGCTCGCCTCGAGCTGAAGAGCTGAGGGACAGCACCTAGGCCCAGAGTTCAAGCCTCATGACTGACAAAAAAAAGGGGAGGGGGTAGTGGGAGAAAAACAAGGGAGAGGGTAACAATGATTGACAAGAAATGTATTCATTGTGTTACTCATGTAACTGTAACCCCTCTATACAGCATCTTTACAATAAGATAATTTAGAAAAAAAGAAAGAAAGGGCTGGGAAGGTGGCTCAGTGGTAGAGCGCTTGCCTTGCATGCCTGAGGCCCTGGGTTCGATTCCTCAGCACCACATAAGCAAAAAGAAAAAAGCCGGCAGTGGCACTGTGGCTCAAGTGGTAGAGTGCTAGCCTTGCATGCCTGAGGCATACAAGCACGACATAAGCAAAAAGAAAAAAGCCAGCAGTGGCGCTGTGGCTCAAGTGGTAGAGCGCTAGCCTTGAGCTGAAGACCTGAGGGACAGCGCCCAAGCCCAGAGTTCAGGCCCCACGACCGGACTCCCCCCCAAAAAAAAGAAAGGAAGGAAGGAAGGAAAGAGAAAGAAAAGAAAGAAAGAAAGAAAGAAAGAAAGAAAGAAAGAAAGAAAGAAAGAAAGAAAGAAAGAAAGAAAGAAAGAAAGAAAGAAAGAAAGAAAGAAAGAAAGAAAAGAAAACTGTACAGTGCCAAAAGCAGGAAAAGCAGGAAGTTAACATTGATCTAAATCATAGGAGCTTATTCAGATTTCACCAGTCATAAATGCTTCATCCATGCATCTGTGCAGCACTGTGCAATTTTATCTTGGGTATAACTTTTACGCAGCTACCATCAAAACAAAGAGACAACTGCGCAGGTCTCCTCATGCCACTTTTCATAAACCCTCTACTCTCACTCTCCCACCTCCGTGGAAAACACTATTCTCTTTTCCATTGGCATAGTTATGTTAGGTCACAAGTGCTTTAGAAGTGGAATTATGCAGTAAGTATTCTTTTGAGGTGGGTTTTTATCATTAAGGTCCATTCAGGTGGCATCAATATTTCTTCCTTTTCATGGCTGCAGTCCATGGTATACTATGGTATACTATGAACCACAGTTCATTTGACTCTTCAGCTATTGAAGGTTATTCGGATAACTTCTCATTTGAGTATTATTATGAATAAATCTTTGAATATTATTGGTGTATAAATTTCTACATGAAAATAAGTTTTTATTTGGGGGATATATATATATATATATATATATATCTAAGAATACAATGAGTTCTATGATAAATCCATTTTTAGTCTTAAAATAACTTGCCAGACTCTTTTCTAGAATGCTACATCATTTTACATTTCCTCCGGCATTGTACACATGCTCCTGTTTCTCAGCTCTGGTTTGCATTTCATGTCATCGCTTTCTTTTATTTCACCCTGTCTGATGGCAGAAATATCTTCTTGTAGTTTAGATTTGCATTTCTCCAATGGCAAGTGAGGTTCAGTGCTTCCTTGTATATTTACCATCTGTACATTCTATTCAATATCCTGTTCGTGTATACTGCTCACTTTATAACTTTAGACTCTTTGTCTTTTATTATTGAATTTTGAAAATTTTTCCTACATTCCAGACACAAAATCACATAAATGATTTATGTAAATCACATAAATGATTTACAGATCTTTTCTACACTGCAATTTGATATTTTTTGTTTTGTTTTATTCTGTTTGTTTGTTGTTTTGGCCGTACTGGGGTTTGAAACTCAGGGCCTCATTCTTGCTAGGTAAGCACTCTACCACCTGAATCATACTCACGGTCCTTTTTGCTTTCATTATTTTTCAAATAAGGTCTCATGCTTTTACCTAGAACTCATCTCCAACCAAGATGTTCCAACGTCTGCCTCCAATATAACTGGAATACAGGTGTATGCCACTGTGCCCGGACCTATCATTTAATTTTTTTCATTCTCTTTTGCTCTGCAAAAGCTCCTAATTCTGATTTTACTGTGGTCCATTTTATCAATTTTCACTCTCATGGAGATTGTGCTTGAAGTTCTTTCCTTAGACCTAATAAAGATTTCTTCCTATTTTTGTATTTTCTAGGAGTTTCATTGTTTCATATTTTACGCATAAGGCCACAATCCATTTGGGGTTCATTTTTGAATGAAATATGAGGTTTTGGTTATGTTTTTGCTTAGTTTTGCCTACTGATGTCCAATGGCTCTATCACTTATTGAAAAAGCCATCTTCCTCCATTGAATTGCATGTCTTCAAACAACTAAAAAAAAAAAAAGAAAAAGAAAAATATTAAACTCTTTCTTTGTGTTTAGCATTCAGAAATTTAATTATGATGTGTCTTAGAATAAACTTTTTTAGGTTTTCCTTGTTTGGGGCTAACTCATTTTGGATCTGTAAATACATGTCTCCCAATATTTCCAATGTTGGGAAATTTTCAAGCATTATTTAACTCCTTTTTCGTGCTCTCTCTCTCTCTCTCTCTCTCTCTCTCTCTCTCTCTCTCTCTCTCTCTCTCTCTCTCTCTCTCCTTCCTCCACTTCTGGGACTCCACTGGTGCAGAGAGCCCTGAGGCTCTGGTTTTCCAGAGGGTCTCGGTCTTAGATCTCTCTGTGGTGCAGATTGAGTACATTCTATTCATCTGTCTTCAAATCTGTCCCCTCTACTACTAAGTCTGCCCACATCCCTTTTCATTTATTTCAAGTGTTTTCAGTTCCATAATTTCACTTAATTACTTTTTATGACTTTTACCTTTTTGCTGGGAGTTTTTTGGTGGTGTTGCAAGAGAATATTCTGTAATTGATTACTAAGGCTTTTTTTTGTTGTTGTTGTTCAGAGTGTGGGGCTTGAACTCAGGGCCTTGAGCATTCAGCTTGTTTGTTTTTTTTTTCTCAAGGCTGGCCTTTTACCACTTTAGCCACAGCTTTACTTCCAGCTTTTTGCTGGCTCATTGGCAGTAAGAATCTCTCAAACTGGGAATCCATGGCTCATGCCTGTAATCCTAGCTACTCAGAAGGCTGAGATCTGAGCATCATGTTTCAAAGCCAGTCCAGGCAGGAAAATCCATAAGATTCTATTTCCAATAAACCAGTCAGAAAACCAGAAGTGGCGCTGTGGCTCAAGTGGTGGAGTGCTAGCCTTGAGCTGAGGAACTGAGGGACAGCGCCCAGGCCCAGAGTTTAAGCCCTATAACCCCCCCTCCCCCTCCCCACACAGTCTCTCAAGTAAGTTTGTCTGCCTTGGCTAGCTTTTTTTTGGGGAGGGGGGGCAGGGGGGTCCAGTCGTGGGGCCTGAACTCTGGGCCTGGGCGCTGTCCCTCAGCTCTTCAGCTCAAGGCTACCGCTTTACCACTTGAGCCACAGCGCCACTTCCAGCTTTTTTCTTTTTGCTTATGTGGTGCTGAGGAATCGAACCCAGGGCCTCAGGCATGCAAGGCAAGCGTTCTACCACTGAGCCACCTTCCCAGCCCCTGCCTTGGCTAGCTTTGAACTGTGATCTTCAGATGTCAGCCTCCTGAGTAGCTAGGATTACAGATGTGCTTCAGGCATTTTCAAGGTGACTGCTTTAAAATCTCTATTTGATAATTCCAACATCTGATTCATATTGTAATTGACCTCCCTTTATCTCTTTTCTCTCTCAAAATGTGGCTTTCCTGATTCATGGTATTATGAGTCATTTCTAATTGTACCTTGAACATTTGGCTTATTGAGGATCCTATTTAAATCTCCTGCCTTAGCCTGCTGGTTAGCAAGTAGGTTCTGCTCTGGTTCTGATGATGGCTTAGTTCTCTGAGTTCTTCTGCTGCTGTTCGGGTCCACTTCATCCTCCTGGAGCTTCTGAGCTTCCCACTCAGCTCCTGCCCCTGCCCACTGCCATCTGCAGGGCAAGCAGGTTCTCTCTGGCTGCCTGCAGTTGCTAAGCAACCTACTAGACAAGTAGACGCCACTGAGCCTGGGTATCCTTGGTGCAGAGCTAAGGATAAAGTCCAAGGAGAGTCTGGGCTCCACTGTGGCCCCCATGCTAGGCTAATTAGACTGGCCTATGGCCTGGGTTGTGGAGCAAAGGCTGAGGTGGTCAGGGTATCCCATGGGCGTGGGGGTCTCAGCTAGATCTGTGCTGGACTTCCCTTGTCCTGGTCTTTTAGAAGGTGAGTTTATGCTTTCCTTGGCTTCTTCTTTTTCCTGTCTGTTGGAGATTTCAGGCTGCCAGTCACTCCTGCATTCAGTCTGAGGGATGGAGGAGCTCACCACATTGTCACTTGTTTGGGGTTTTTTTTGTGGGGGGGGGGGGGAATAGGGTTTTGTTTGCCAGTCTTGGGGCTTGAACTCTGGGCTGGGCACTGTCCTTGAGCTTCTTTTTGCTCAAGGCTAGCACACTCTACCACACAAGCCACTGCACCCCTTCTGGCTTTTTCTGTGTATGTGGTACTGAGGAATCAAACCCAGGGCTTCATGCATACAAGGCAAGCACTCTACCACTGAGCCACATTCTCAGCCCACATGGTCACTTCTTGAGTTCTAAGGTCCCTGGCCAGTCCATGGTCTTTTTTTTCCCCCAGAGGTCAGGGGGGGGGAGGATGTTGCTTTTTCAAAACAGAGTCTTGCTATATAGCCTAGGCTATATAGCAACCCTCTTGCCTGAGCCTCTCAAGTGCTGGGATTATACGTATACACTGCCATGCCTGATCTATTCACTTGTTCAATAATTTCCAGAGTGTTTAGTTATAGGGAATGAAGAAGAAAAAGGTAAAATGAACCATCTCCTCCTTGTTCTAAAATCAGAAGTCCTAAACACTTTTTTTTTCTTTTTTGCCAGTTCTGGAATTTTTTTTTTTTTGGGGGGGGGGGGGTGTCAGGGCCTAGATGCTGCCTGAGCCTCTTTGTGCTCTGACCACTTAAGCCACAGCACCACTTCTGGCTCTTTCTGAGTTAGTTTACTGGAGATAAGAGTCTCATGGTCTTTGTTGTCAGGGTTGGCTTCGAATTACAGTCCTCAGATCTCAGCCTCCTTTGTAGTTAGGATTAAATGAGGCATGAGACACCAGTGCCCAGGTCTAAAGCACATATTTTTTAATTATTAAAATGATCTATTTTCATGACTGGGGATGTAGCTCAAGAGTTAGAGCACTCTTGGGACTGAAAAGAGTCCCAAGTGATTTATTTCCATATAAAAAATTAGACCCCCAGGGGCTGGGAAGGTGGCTCAGTGGTAGAGTGCTTGCCTTGCATGCATGAGGCCCTGGGTTCAATTCCTCAGGACCACATAAGCAAAAAGAAAAAAGCTGGAAGTGGGCACTGTGGCTCCAGTGGTAGAGTGTTAGCCTTGAGCTGAAGAGCTGAGGGACAGCGCTCAGGCCCAGAGTTCAGGCCCCAGGACTGGACCCAAAAAAAAAAAATTAGACCCCCAAATTGTGCTACTTAGAGCAGAGAATACATCCCAAATTTAAATGGCCAATTAGTAGAGGCTCTGTGGTAACAAATCACAAGAGATCGGCAGAAAGAACATCATCATCAATTACCAATGTCTGCTATGAACGTAGGAATGAACACTGGGTACAAATGCTATCTGTTTAATGTCCTTGGATTTAGACTGCTAATCCCAGTGACAACAGTTCGCTTCAACCTCCTTCTGCAGAAGTTCAAGCCTCCTCACACCCTGTCCTTGTGGCCTATTTCTCTCTTTAGATTATCACTTTTAGAGACTACCTTCCCATTGTGCTGGGTGATGAGATGCAGAAGTGGATCCCTCCATACCAAGGCTACAATGACTCTGTAGACCCCCGAATTTCCAATGTCTTTACCTTTGCTTTCCGCTTTGGGCACTTGGAGGTCCCCTCCACAGTGTCCCGCCTGGATGAGAATTATCAGCCATGGGGGCCAGAACCAGAACTTCCCCTGCATACCCTCTTCTTCAACACCTGGAGGATGGTCAAAGACGGTATGTTTTTTCCTAAAGGAGTTCTCACCTGTCTCTCCTACTCTGCAACCTGCTTGTAGGGAAATCAAATTTGGAAGTCACGATCCACAAACTTCCTGTAAGACCCTGAGTAAGTGAATTTATCTCACTGTACCTCAATTTTCTGGCTGTCAAATGGGGATACCTCAACTGGGTACTAATGGCTCATGCCTATAAACCTAGCTACTCTGGAGACTGAGATCTGAGGTTCACAGTTTGTAGCCAGACCAGGCAGACAAATCCAAGAGACTTATCTCCAATTAGCTAGCGACTCCCCCCGCCCCCCAAAATGGGGCACCATGGCTCATGCCTGTAATCCTAGCTACTCATACTCAGGAGGCTGAGATCTGAGGATCATAGTTCAAAGTCAGCCCAGGCAGGAAAGTCCATGAGACTCTTTTTTTTTTGGGGTCCAGTCATGGGGCCTGAACTCTGGGCCTGGGTGCTGTCCCTCAGCTCTTCAGCTTAAGGCTAGTGCTCTACCACTTGAGCCACAGCGCCACTTCCGGCTTTTTTCTTTTTTGCTTATGTGGTGCTAAGGAATCGAACCCAGGGCCTCATGCATGCAAGGGAAACGCTCTACCACTGAGCCACCTCTTTTGGCACCATCCATGAGACTCTTATCTCCAATAAACCACTAGAAAAACCAAAAGTGGTGCTGTGCCAAGTTCAAGCCCCACAACAGACAAAAAAAAAAAAAAAACATTGATCTATGGCTCAAATGTAGAACACCAGCCTTGAGCACAAAAGCTAAGCGATAGACAGTGCCCAAAGCCCTGAGTTCAAGCCCCAGTACCAGTGACACAAAAAAGGGAGAAAGACGTCTCATGAGGGTATCCAAAAAATTAAATATAAGATACTTAGAGTACCTTATCATGAGTCACAAGAGCTTCTAAGGTGCCTAGGATTCCTCTTCCTTCTCCCCTGATCTTGGTTTCTCCGACCTCTGAAGAGAATTCATAGGCTTTATCCTGTGCTTTTCTAGGGCCTTCCACTTCCATGAGGTACCAGAGCTTAACTTTTTTTTCTTTTGTCTGTCATGGGGCTTGAACTCTGGGCATGAGCACTGTCCCTGAGCACTTCAGCTCAGGGCAAGCACTCTACCACTTGAGCAACAGCGCTACTTCCGGTTTTCTGGTGGTTAATTGGAGATAAGAGTGTCACCGACTTTCCTGCCCCGGCTGGCTTTGAACCACAATCCTCAGATCTCAGCCTCCTGAGTAGGATTACGGGCGTGAGCCACCAGTGCCCAGCAAACTTTTTTTTTTTTGTCTTTTCTTTTTTGGTACTGGGGGTTGAACCCAGGACGTTGCACTTGCTAGGCAAGCCCCTTGCCACTGAGCTACATCCCAGCCCAAGGAGCTAGAGTTTGACTGCATCAATTCTTTACTCGTAGGCTGGGACTGTGTTGAAACCAACTTACCTCAAGGCCTAACAAGTCAGAACCATTTCCTAATTATTTATGGGACATTTCCCACACTGCAGTGTGCTTCCAGGGAACACATGGAAGGAGAAGACGCTTCTGGATCCATGAATTAGAACTCAAAAATGCTCTTGACATTGATATTCAAGGCTGTCATCCCACAGATACCCCTTTCCACCACCTTAGAAACAAAACAGGCAGCCTGGACTCCTCTCTTCTGAGCACACTTTGTGTTCTTTTCTCCCTGCTGCCAGCTACTTTTCACTGAGAGATTCTGGTGGAAGACAAGGCCAGCTGTAGAAGGTACCCGTTGGTCTCCCTTTGCAGGTGGCATTGACCCGCTGGTTCGAGGTCTACTAGCCAGAAAGGCCAAGTTGGTGAAACAGGATAAAATAATGACAGGAGAATTGCGCAACAAGCTCTTCCAGCCAACTCATACCATCCATGGCTTCGACCTGGCTTCCATCAATATACAACGTTGCCGGGACCATGGACAGCCTGGTGAGTGTATCTCTGGGGTCTGGCCAGGCCTGGAGGGTTTGTGGCTACCTTCTGGGACTCCTAGAGACTCTCCTCTGTAGCCCTGAGGATCTGATCCATTCTGAACCGGAAAGCAAGTTTTAAAACCCACTTTGCTTGTCCATGAAAGGGAGTCCTCCATTCTCCCAAATGCAGAGATACAGACATGTTTCTGGTAATATTCTGAGGTTCCTCAGATGAAAAAGATCAGCAGCTAAGCTGGGTACCAGCAGTCTGTGCCTGTAATCCTAGCTCCTCAGGAAGCTGAAATCTGAGGATCACTAGTTGAAGCCAGCTATGAGACTCTTATCTCCAATTAAACAGCATAAAGCTGGAAGTAGAGCTGTGGCTCAAGTGATAGAGTGATGTCCTTGAGCAGAAAAAGCCAAACAACTGCATGAGGGCCTGAGTTCAAGCCTCAGTACCAGCAGGGGGAAAAAAATCAAAAAAAGATCCATAACTAACTTGGAAAGTCAATTTTAAAAGCCTGGAACCCTGTAGGCACTTTAGCTTTTATACCTATAAAAAGCAATACTGGGGGCTGGGAATGTGGCTTAGTGATAAGAATGCTTGCCTAGCATATTCATTTCCTCAGTACCACATAAACAGAAAAGGCTGGAGGTGGCACTGTGGCTCAAGTGGTACAGTGCTCTAGCCTTGAGCACAGAAAGGCTCAAGGACAGAGCCCAGGCCCTGACTTCAAGCCCCAAATGGGCAGAAATAAAAGTAAGAAAGAAAAGAAAAAGCAATATAGACCAGGAATCAGTGGCTTATGCTTATAATCCTAGTTATTCAGGAGGTTGAGATTCTAGGGATTGTGGTTCAAATCCAGCTCAGGCAGGAAAGTCCATGAGACCCTTTCTCCAATTAATCACCAGAAAGCTAGACAAGGAGCTATAGCTCAAGTTAATACAGAGCACTAGCATTTGAGCAAAAAACTAAAGGACAGTGCTCAGGCCCTGAGTTCAAGCCCCAATATTGACACACATACTAGAAAAGAATGTAGTGTAATTAGGAACCAGACTGCCTGAATTCAAATGCCAGCTGTGCCATTTACTAGTTATAGAACTTTGGGCAAGTGACTTAACATCTCTGATCTTCAGTTTTGACATTGTAACAGTGCTTAGAATAGTTCCTGGGCTGAGAGTAAATACCAGGTAAGCTGCTAACTTCTCTCCATCTCCCCTAAGACTGAAGTGCCACACACCTACACAATGGGTCAACACCTCCCCCATGTCTCTGAGCCCAGACTTTCCGGGGCTGATGGAGCTGGAGTGGGTGTGTCCCTAAGGGAGGCCACAAGCTCTTGGGATGAGATAGCTTCGGACTCCCACCCTAGGGTACAATTCCTGGAGAAAGTTCTGTGACCTCTCTCAGCCACGGACACTGGAGGAACTGAGTGCAGTGCTGGGGAATGAGATGCTGGCCGAGAAGCTCCTGAGTCTCTATGGGACCCCTGACAACATCGACATCTGGATCGGGGCCATTGCTGAGCCCCTGATAGAACGAGGTCGGGTAGGGCATCTCCTGGCCTGCATCCTGGGCCAACAGTTCCAGCGAATTCGAGACGGAGACAGGTAAGTGAAATCTCTGCCTAGGAGAGCAAGGGAACCCTTCACTAAAGTGAGAGGGAGGTCCCCAACATCCTACAAGAAGACTGACACCAGACCTCAGCACCAATGGGGCTTTTCCACGTGACCTCTTTGGCAATGGGGGGTAGAACCAGCCACTGGACTGTCAGCACTGATGCCACTTCTGTCTCTGCAGGTTCTGGTGGGAAAACCCAGGGGTCTTCACAGAGAAGCAGCGAGCCTCTCTGCAGAAAGTGTCCTTCTCACGCCTTGTCTGTGACAACACCCATATCACCAAGGTCCCGAGGAACCCATTCCGGGCCCACAGCTACCCCCAAGGCTTTGTGGACTGCTCAGCCATTGATAAGCTGGACCTCTCACCCTGGGCCTCAGTGGAGAATTAGAGGCATGGCCTTCCACGTGGCATCGTGACTCTCCCCCTTTGGTCCATGCTGCCATTTCAAACAAGTGTGATGACCCAGTCCCTTAATGCTTCAGACCTCAGTCCTCCAGTCTTCCTTTCCAGCTAGCCCTCTCTTGCATTTGCCCAAGGCCAACGGCAGCCACCTCAGTCTTCCAGCTCTTCTGCCTGGCTGCCACCACTTCCAACCTCTATGGAAATCTTCCTTTCTGCCAAGATGCAGGCCATCAGAGAAGGCCTGAGATTTTAATGCTTCCTCTCCCTGAGATGAAGCTATAGCCTTTGACCTTTGCTTTTCCCCAATCCCTTCCAGACTATTTTGTAAGTTTTCTGAGCCCTGGACTTCTGCCTGTGTCTGAGTGCAGTCTGGGGTGCTAGACATGGTATTCGTGTAGCTTGGTGCTCAATAAACACCTGGTAGTTGACTAAAGATGCTGGCAGTGACTTGGTTCCTTCCCAAAGAAGACACGCCATGTTTACAGTCCCTATGTGTCTTCCTGTTGGGGTGTCCTGTGTCTGGGTCTGCTGGGGAAGAGGGGTGACTAGGTGGGAGGTGCAAGAGGCCTCAAAGAAGGGAGGAAGCATGGCAAAGGAACAATGGCATCAAGTAGCAGGACAGGGGGCCTGGGAGGCACTGAAGCTGAGTGCCATGGGATCAAACAGAAGGATCTCCTTGCAGTCAAAATTAATCACTCTTCCATCTCCTTGGAAATATCTCTTCCTCCCCCTCCCCCTCCCTCTCCTCCTCCTCTTCCTCCTTTTCCTCCTTCATCTTCTTGTTATGTGTGTGTGTGTGAATATGTGTTTGTTCATGTGTGCATATGTGTGTATGTGTATGCTGGTCCTGGGACTTGAACTCAGCATCTGGGCACTGTCCCTTCTTTTGCTTCTTTTGCTGAAGGCTAGCTCTCTACTACTTGAGCCATAGTTCCACTTCTGGCTTTTTTTTTTTTTTTTTTTTTGGTGGTTTAGTGGAGATAAGAGTCTTACAGACTTGTCTGCCCAGGCTGGCTTTGAACAGCGATCCTCATATCTAAGCCTCCCGAGTAGCTAGGATTACAGGTATAAGCCACTGGTGCCAGGTAATACTCTGTTCTTGTTGAGCAGTCCTTAGAGCCCACAAGTCTCTGAAAGGACAGCTCCAGAACATTCCTTGAGCTGCTGCACAATGTCTATTCATAATTCCTCTTTTAATTTTTGAGTCAGGGTCTCACTATGTAGCCCAGGCTGGTCTTGAACTCGCAATCCTCCTGATTGGGGACGGATGCCTCAATGTACTACCATACCTAGTTTACATTCTTCTTTTAAAGTGACCCTCCTATGCAAACCCCAGGACAACACACAAAAATACATAATCATTAAGATTACCCTGTAGGAGCTGGATACCAGTGGGTCACACCTATAATCCTTGCTACTCAGGAGGCTGAGATCTAAGGATCAAAGTTCAAAGCCAGCCCAAGCAGGAGAGTCCATGAGACTCTTATCTCTAATAACCACCAAAAAGCCAGAAGTGGAGTTGTGTCTCAAGTGGTAAAGCAGCAACCTTGAGCCAAAAAGCTCAAGGACAGTGAACTCAGTCTCTCAGTTCCTGGCCCCAGGACCAGCACATATACACATACACAAAACTCCCTGGCAAGTAAGACCAGTGAAGCTAGGGCCTCCAGATCCCTTGTCTGGCAGGGTGAGAGTAGAAGGCACATTGCCATTGTGGGGAAATGCCCAGGGCAGAGGGCCTAGCACCCCCACTTCTTCTCAGCCTCTTAAGAGGCCCCTCCCCTTTCTGGGCACCTCTCTCTTTGCCTGTCTTTGTTCTACTGCTCACCACAGGGATAGCCTAGCTTTCCTTGGGGACCCCAAGAGTGTATCATACCCATGATCCATACACCTTCAGTTCCAGCTGTGGGTGGCCCCTCCCCACCAATGGGAAGCTAGGAAGGGAGAGGGAGGACACCCACCAGTTAAATCTAGGGGTCTGACTCCAGGCAAGATCAGTAGGAACATGCATTCCTCCGGCCCCTCAGTCCCTGCTTTCTGGTGTGGTCACTGAGACCCTAAGGAGAGGAGGCCACCACCCTGAAGGTCCCCTGAACCTTTTTCCTGGCCCAACCATGGGGCTGTAGGGTGCAGAAGCCCCCATCATCTGGGAAGTCCTTCCAACCAGAACTCAGCTCTTTCTCCCCCACGGGACAGTATTTTATCCCCTCTGTGTCCCAGGTCCTGACACAAGGTGAGCATGAAGTAATCGTGCTCTGGAGCCATGTACAATCATCAGGGCTTGGGGACTTCCTTCCTGTTCCACAGAGGGCCAGGTGGGAAGCAAGGGATGAGGGTCTTCTTCCTCTGTGTATGGAATTGCTGATGCCTTCATCCCCCATCAGAAACTGAGGGCCCTGAACACCCTTGCTCAAGTTCAGGACTCAGAGGGAGCCTCCCACGAAGGCTCCAGCCCCTTTCCCAACACAAGCAGAGCAGAGTGAAATCCCCATTGGCAGTGCTTTATTACTATAAATGTCAAGTACAAACGTATGATACAGAAATGCCAGCGAGCCCCAGTTTCTATCCATCAGGTTCCTGTGAATAAGCAAGAGAACAAGAGTAAAAGGGAGCCATGGATTCAGCCTGGCTGGCTTTGACCCATAATTTGACTGCAATTCCCATAACCCCAGCTGCTAACGGGTTAGATTTCCAGGAGCTACTGGTTATCTCTGCTAACCAGGACAGAGTCAAGGCGTAAGACCCTTGAGGAATCTTTCATGCCTCTCTCTGTCTCCATTGCCCAGTACAGTGCTTGACATGTAGTTGCTCAACAAACAAAGAGCTACAGGATGCAAATGGGCCCTTTAAGGAGACATGACCACAGTTATTTACAAGGAAGAAAACTCAGGCTTAAAGGAATTGGACAGTGCTCCAGATCACTCAGGAGTAAGCTATCGAGCCAGGATGTGACCTTAGGAAGTCTGTCCTAAGCTGGGCCCCTCACTAATTTCCTTGGCTACTGCCCATGTCCCTAATGCTCTCAGAAGCAGCAAGCACACACTCACACAAATGACATACATGCCATGGTACATCTAATACTGCCCATGTTCACAGACAACGCATGCACGTGAAATGCTGACATACATTCTCTTCACACATATCAACACACAAACACATCTTCTCGGCTGGAACCCAAACTCAGGCCAGGGAAGGGAGTTTCCTGTGATTGCCATGGCCAACCCAGGAATACCCCCACAGTGCAGCGTGCCCTTACCTAGCCTCTAAGACTCTCTCCAGGAACTCAGGTCCAGCTTCGGGAGAGAGTTGCACTGCACAAAATCCTGGGGGTATGAGTTGGACATGAAGATGTTGTTCTTGGACACAGTGGTGATGCCTGTGTTGTCACAGATGATGCGGGGCAAGGAGATTCTGGCCAGGGCCTGGCGTTGCTGCATGCTGAATACATCTGCGTTCTGCCACCAAAACCTGCATAAAGAGCACCAAAGACACTGTGCCCGAGGGAGTCCTGGACTGGGATACCCTGAGCTGAGAAGGTATCACCTGACTTGAGCTGCTCCTAGATGCAGGAGGACCACAGAAGACTCTGCCTTGCAGCACAAGACAGACCTCAGACCCTCGGGGGAGAGGGGGTTTTCCACTCAGTGTTGAGTACAAAAGGGCACAGCTGCCTGTTACCTCTCCTCCCACCTGGAAATCCTTTCAGGTACCTTTCATGCTATAAAGGGAGCCAGGCCCTCCCATAATCCTGAAGCCATGTGCCTGGAGCTTGGCTCACAGGACTGAGTTTCCTTTTTGTCTCTCAAGAAGAGGAAAACAGAATGTTGGAAGGGGGATCAATACCCAAACTGCTTCCTCAATGAATGAAGACAGCAACACAAAGTCACTACAAGGGTTTAGTGGGGATGGGAAAAGTGAGAGACAGATCTGATTAAAGTTCTGTATATGTGTGATGTGTGAATGCCACCACTGAATTCCCTTTGCACAATTAACACATGCTAAGTAATGTAATGAACGTAAAACAACTGGTCTTGTGGGGGCGTGGATATGATAGGTGTAGGTGTTGGAGGGCAAACAGAGAAGGAGAGAGTCAATATGCTCAAAATACTTTATGTACTTGTGTAACAAAGGGAACAGTGGTGTCTGGGAATGTGGCTTAGTGGTAGAGTACTTCCCTAGCATGCATGAAGCCCTGGGTTTGATTCCTCAGTACCACATAAACAGAAAAAGCCGGAAATGGCGCTATGGCTCAAGTGGTAGAGTGCTAGCCTTGAGCAAAAAGAAGCTCAGGGACAATGCCCAGGCCATGAGTCCAAGCCCCAAGACTGACAAAAAAAAAGGGCGGGGGGGAGATAACAGTGAAGCTTATTGAAATTAATTTGAGAAAGGAGAAATGGGAGATGAGGGGGAGTGACAGAAAGGATAAATCTGATCAAGGTATGTTGTATGATATATGAACATGTCAAAAATAAAAACCCCTGTACAGCCAGGTACTGGTGGCTCACACCTGTAATCTTAACTACTCAAGAAGCTGAGATCTGAGGGTCGCAGTTCAAAGCCAATCCAGGCTAGAAAGTCCATAAGACTCTTTTCTCCAATTAACTACCAGAAAACTGGAATTGGCACTATGGCTCAAAGTGGTAGAGTGCTAGCTTTGAGCAACAGAGTTCAAGGACAGCATCCAGACCTTGATTTCAAGCCCCACGACAGACAGACAGACAGACAGACAGACAGACAGACAGACAGATAGATAGATAGACAGATAAAATGTGGTGCTGTGGCTCAAAGTAGTAGAGCACTAGCGTTGGCCCAAAGCACCTAGGCCTAGAGTTCAAGCCTCATGACTGGCCAGAAAGAAAAGGGAAAAAAAAACCTGTACAACTGATTATAGCAACAACAACAATGATAATAAAACAGGAACTTAGGCACTGGTGGCTCACACCTATAATCCTAGCTGCTCAGAAGGCAGAGATGAGAGAATCTGGGTACGAAGTCAGCCCAAGCAGACAAACCTAAGAGACTTTTATTATCTCTATCCAACAAAAAGTTGGAATTGGAGGCTCAAGTGGTAGAGTGTTTGGTTGTGTTGCGAGCAGAAAAAGCTGAAGAAGAGGCCCTGAGATTCAAACCCTTGTACAGGCAAATGCATACGCGCGGTGTGCGCACACATGTGCGCGCACACACACTCACGCATGCATGGGGAATTGTCTGGCTTGAGTCATTTTTTTGTTGTTGTTAATATCCCCAAAGGTACAGGGCAGGTGGGTAACAGCTCTAGACACCGTGAAATGATGAGAAATGATGTCAGAAAGCCGAGACTGTTCATACTGGCATAGAGAAAGACAGAGGAAGAGTAGGAAGGGTTTTCCTGTCACCACCAGAGTTCCAATTTCCCCTCACTGCACTTCAACAGGGATAACCTGG